CCCGTGACCATCACCGGGAGCTGGACAAACGCCCTCCTCCGACCCCCGGCTCGGGGCGGCGGCACGGCACCGAGAGGGAAGAAGAGCTCTCCCTCTCCCGTTCCGCAGCCTCCTTCTGCGAGATGGTGGACTCGCAGAAGTCGCGCATCGTAGACACGACGGTCGGAAGCGACAAGTCCGGTTCTATTTTTGCAACGAGGAGACGGCGTTGCTCCGCGAAAGCGGGGCAGTACGCGAGTGTGTGCCCGTGTCCTCGTTGCAGCCACTGCAGTGGTGGCACTTCGACGTCGGCTCCCTCCGGGCGACGAGGTGCAGGTAGCGGCCGAAACAACCGCGACCGAGGACGTCTCACCTCGGAAGGTGAGACGTCCTCGGTCGCGATTCACTCAGTCCGTAAGGACCGGCCGGATCGCCTCGACGGTCCGTCGCCCATAGACCGGGTCCGCCAGGAGGCGAGACCACGCCTTGAGCACGGCACGCCGAGATTGGAGCTTCCGCACTCGAACTTCTACCGCGCCGGGATGCGGCTCCCCCCTGGAGCGGAGATCGTATCGCCACGCGTGATCCGCAATATATTAAATTTCCTAACTCAGCATACTTCAATCAACTAACAACTGCTCAATTCATATCATACCCATACCCTGTGCCTATGCTAGCGCCATTCTGGAGGATTTTTGAACTGTTATTTAGTACTGAAAGTGGGACACTTTTTCAAGCTTCTCCCATATGAGATGGTTCTCCTTACCTCTACCCTCCATAGTTTATCGTAGATACGGTTTGACCAGGTGCATTTCATTAGCTTACCTCACGCTAGATGGCATAATTGCGCACTTTTGTAGTTCCGAAATGTGTCAATTGACGGCTCTCGCTGTCACTATGTGCGGTCGTAACGCCAAGAGCCCAATTGAGTATAGTTCCTTTATTTTGTAGTTATTTACTATTTAGTTTAATTCAGTAAAAAAAATACAGGAAACAAAAGGCGATGAATCTTGTCGCTGCGAACCCTGCGGTATCGACTTCGCCTCAGAGGATGCGCGAAGAGTTCACTTCCAAACTTCCAGCCGACACAAAAGTAAACCAGGGAAGACGTAAGTTTCAAATTTACAATTTGCATCAAAATACCATACTTAAAACTTTAGAATACAAACAATGGAGCGGGTAGGATCGAAAAATCATGCAAAATGACGGTTTTGACGATTGTAACGAACATAATCGGTTATTTGCTTTATAGCGACGGAAAGCCCTTTGAATTAGATGAGAGTAAGACATGCAAGAGATGCGGCACGGAGTTCGGCACACGGAGCGAACTCAACTTGCACGTAAAGGCTCAACATCGCAGACCCTACATGAAGCAACCGGGAGAGACTTACCCCACCAACTGTGAGCACGTGAGTGTCGGTAATTTGTGGCTTTGATATAAATAAATAATATAAATAATAAATAATAAAAAAGCGTGGGGTGCTTTTTAAGATATTGAAATAATAATTCTTCTACTGATATCTGTCAGAAAAATATTTATAACTAATAACACCATGCACCTCATGCTTTTTTTACAATAAAATATATTTTACACTATTTTTAATTTAAATTTATTAAATTTTATTTTCTATTTTTTAGTTGAATTTTATATAAAGCCTGTTTTTTAGTTTTTTAAACTATTATTTATTTTACATTTTTTTGTAAAAATGTTCTAAAAGCGTATTTTTAAAACTGTTAAGTACTCTAACATCAAGTCCTGCCTTATCGACTATAGATAAAAATTATATAAATTGACAAAAATCTTATTTTGCAAATTGAATAATGGAATAATCTTATCAAATTAATTGATAAATCTACAGTTTGAATGAAATCTGGCTGTTTAAAATGGGTCAAAGTCTCGTCTAAAGGAGTCAGTTACAAACATACATACAAGTGAAGCTAATATAAAGCGTGTAAAAACTAATTTTCCGCACAGTTGCATGTAGTACCACTGGTAGGACCTCTTGTGAGTCGGCGCGGATAGGTACCACCGCCCTGCCTATTTCTGCCGTGAAGCAGTAATGCGTTGCGGTTTGAAGAGCGGGGCAGCCATTGTAACCATACTGAGATCTTAGAACTTATATCTCAAGGTGGGTGGCGCATTTACGTTGTAGATGTCTATGGGCTCCAGTAACCACTTAACACCAGGTGGGGTGTGAGCTCGTCCAACCATCTAAGCAATAAAAAAAAGTTACTGTCGTATATATAGCTGTTACAATTTTCAAATTATCAAGCCATAGTTTTTTTGGATCTCTAAAGGTCGTTTTTCATAGCACCATTAACGTGCTATATATGGCGCTGGGGTAATATGTCTTTTCATAAAATGTAAAAATGTATAATGCACCGAAAGTCTTAAGTCGATCATAGAATAATGTATGTAATGTTTCAGTGTGGGAAAGCAGTAAACAGCCGCCGGGAACATTGGTGGCACACATTCAAGGAACACCCTGCCGAAAGGGATTCATATCGACGAGTCATTACCGCCATTTGTGATACGTGCGGGAAAGGATTCCAGGTACTGTAGTTTTTGTATTTATATAATGATATTGTATGTGGTCAAAGTATTCTTGCTTAGTCTGTCTAAACACAGATCACGTCAGATACAGCGAACGTCTACTCACTGTCGTGAGAATTCCGACATGTTCACACCAAGCTTACTTGATTTTCATGAAAGCAGTCGCCAATACTAAGGCAATTTCAACTTATTATAAATATTTGTGACAAAAAACGATATATTATTTTTACCAGAACAAAACGATTTTACGTATCCACGAGCTACGTCACGCTTCTCCGTCGGTGCGGTGCGACGAGTGCGGGCGGGCGTTCTACGACAAGTACGCACTGGCGCGGCACGCACACACGCACACGCGGGCGCGTCCGTTCGTGTGCACGCACTGCGGACAGACCTTCACGCTGCGCACCAACCTCAACCGCCACGCCAAGGTGCGTGTTGCTACTCCACTGTACCCTACTGTACTCTACTCACCCTAGCCCATCTACGACAAGTACGCACTGGCGCGGCACGCACACACGCACACGCGGGCGCGTCCGTTCGTGTGCACGCACTGCGGACAGACCTTCACGCTGCGCACCAACCTCAACCGCCACGCCAAGGTGCGTGTTGCTACTCCACTGTACCCTACTGTACTCTACTCACCCTAGCCCATCTACGACAAGTACGCACTGGCGCGGCACGCACACACGCACACGCGGGCGCGTCCGTTCGTGTGCACGCACTGCGGACAGACCTTCACGCTGCGCACCAACCTCAACCGCCACGCCAAGGTGCGTGTTGCTACTCCACTGTACCCTACTGTACTCTACTCACCCTAGCCCACCTACCTAAACTCAGCATCGAGACTTTTACAATACTTTTATTTACAATAGTACAGTTACGTACTGGGGCTCGGAATTAATAAAACTTTCACCGAAGTACCAATTAAAACTCTATTTAACACTTAAAACAGTCAAGGCACATAAGGCAATTCTTTTTTAGTCGACACGACAACTCTACAATTATCGAGAACATTCCCGATATTACTAGTCGTTTTGATATATGTTTCGCCCCATTTGATAATAGATGGCATTACACTTCTTGAGCGTTCTCGATTTTACTAGTTCTTTTAATATTCATTTCTGTTATTTGATGACAGATGGCATTACTTTTACCGATATAATAGTACGTACCATTTGTATTATCTTACTGTAAAACCGTATTTAAATATTACCGAATCTCACTCGAGCCGATTTATTATTAACATTAGCATGGCGTAGTGTGCAAACCGTTAAAAATATAAAGCGCTATGACATTTTGCGACATTTTTTTGTTAGAATAAATGCGAAAACGCTTTACATGTTATGAGATTATTAATAAAATAAAAGATTCGAAAATTCACATTTTATGAGCTACGAATTCATTGTTGAGGAAGTGACTGATATTTTGACAGCCAGTGATATCTATTCTTAAGAAACTTGACACTATGCCTTTTAGCTTAAACAGCCAATTTATATTTATAATGGAATGAATAGAATAAATAACACAACTCGACAAAAAAAAATTCGTTCTTTGCCCTAACGTACAGGTTTTTCCGGTTAATCACAAAAACGAAAATAAAACACCTTTTTTTTTTGTATAAAGTTTGCTTTTGTGATAGTTATAATAATAATACTCATTTATATATATTTTTTATAAATTTTAATTAATTTTAATACTTTAAAGAAAACCGCGCTATGAGAGTGGGGTGTTTACGTTTACACAGTGTCACTAGATGACACTCGAGTCACAAACAACGATCAGGTGTTTTGTACAAGCCCAGAAAAACTTAAAATGTCACGAAAGTGTAAATACGATGCTGATGCATTTTGTTTCATATGTGGTCAATTTATTAAAGTTCAAAAACAAACTGTTTCATGCCATGTAATTTTTTTGGTCTAATTACGATCTAAAATATCGAAATTTTATGCTTTGCAATCAAAGTCAAATTTGGTGTTGACCCGTGTAATATTTTTCTATCATTTATTAACTGCCTACCCTCTCATTTCTTCTTGCAGGTGCACTCGAACGTGGCGGCCTACGAGTGCTCGATGTGCGGCAAGAAGTTCAAGTACTCGACGAGCCGCAACCTGCACATCCGCACCGTGCACTACAAGCAGCCGCCGCCGCCTCGCAAGAAGCGCGCCAAGAATGTAGAACAACCAGAATTCAAGTTGTAATTAATAAAGATACGGTTAACACTATGCGATTTCTATTGAAATTATACTACGAAGGTCTCATTTCATGAACGGATTTTAAGCTATTGCATAGCGCTTATCGCTGGCTTTGAGCCCGGCGACCGAATCAAGAAGTTGCGTAACGAAAATAAAACCTAACACCCCCCACTCCGCCTACCTATAAATACAGCGTGGTCTTATTTTATTATTGTTTTAATATTAAATTATTATTGTCTAATTATAATTGCATAAGTTGATAAAAAATGCTATGCAATAGCTTTACTGCGGCAGTCCCCGAGTGCCACACGTGTTTTTTTTTTTTTTTTTGTCATGGATGGATTGTCAAAAACCTGCACAAAATTGTTGCATGTTGTGGTCTCGAGTCTAAGGCGTTCGTTCAGTTAATGAATATAATGAAAAGCAAATTATAATTTGCGTAATTACGGGTGTTGCGTAATTACGTCTTGTGAGTCCGCACGGGTAGGTACCACCGCCCTGCCTATTTCTGCCGTGAAACAGTAATGCGTTTCGGCTTGAAGAGTGGTGGCATCTAAATTGTAGATGGGTGATGTGCTCGTCCGTCCACTAAGCAATAAAAAAAAACACAATTTGTATTTTGAGCTCAGACCTAAATATGGATCACGTTCAATATCAGAGCCAGGAAATAACAAATAAAAATGTATTTAAAAAAAATATGTTTTATTAGAAAATTTAACGATTTACAACTCGCAATAAAGTCGAGAAATCTCTCGAATAAAAATAATAATAATAATAAAATCGAGGGGTGAAAGGATATTTTGTTCAAGCGATATTTCTTTTAATACACAACATTTACTTTTGTAGGGGATCGGTGACCTTCATCGCAGTCAAAGGGTTAAATAGCCCTTTCACTTGTCGATATATATATTTTATTCTTGGAAATGTATGGCCGGTAACAGTTTCCCCTCGCACCTCCCGAACCCTATTCTGAGTCCGGTCGCGTTGAGGCAGTGGCCGCGCAACGTGACCGTGTCTCCGTCCTGTATGAATTTTCTCTCCTCACCAGTCGAAAGGCGAACGGGCTTGGTGCCCTTCCAGGACAGTTCCAACATGCTCCCAAACGAGTCCGCCGCCTGGAAAGGTAATGTTCACGGTATTAAAACTATAGTACATTGTGGGTGGTGGGTGGCAAACACCCGGCAACACGGATGAGATGTACTACTTTTTCCCGCGGTGCTCATAAACTCAAAAAAAAAACAATTTAACTGTTTTTTAATTTTTAAATAAACTACTACTAATTGAATAAGAACTGTCTGATGAACTCATCTTTGTTTAATACTTCACTAGAAATTTTTATTGCCTTTTGTTTATTTCACTTTTAAACTAAACACAATACTGCAAATTACCCGAGCACAACAATGGCGGAGAATTTTAGGTGCGTGAGAGCAAACATAGACACTAACGCGCATGCGCACTTGTTAGTACCCAGGGAGGAAAAGTTTCACTTTCTTCCCTGTACAGCGGGACGAAAACCCAACTTTCGGCGTAGGTAGGAGAAAAATGCTATTACGGTATAAGCTCACCATTATCATAATAGGTTGGGGTAAAAGTCTTTTCGCATTATAGTATGTATGCACTTGTAATAAAATCTCTTTGGCCATACTTTTTTTTTATTGCTTAGATGGGTGGACGAGCTCACAGCCCACCTGGTGTTAAGTGGTTACTGGAGCCCATAGACATCTACAAGGTAAATGCGCCACCCACCTTGAGATATGAGTTCTAAGGTCTCAAGTATCGTTACAACGGCTGCTCCACCCTTCAAAATAAACCACATTACTGCTTCTAGGCAGAAATAGGCGGGGTGGTGGTACCTACCCGCGCGGACTCACATGAGGTCCTACCACCAGTAAAAAAGATCTGGTCTCACCTCCCCACTGATGGTGCCCGAGCCGAGCAAGTCTCCCGGTCTGAGGTTGCAGCCCGTGACAGTCTGCTGCGCCAGTTGCTGTTTCACCGTCCAATACATGTACCGATAGTTCGAACGGCAAACGGTGGTCACCACCGGGGACTTTTCAGCTAAAGAAATATGAAAATGTTATTCAATATATATATGTCCTACCTATTCTAGTGACCTCCAGGGATCAATAGATTCACCGGACGGGGTTATTCAATAATGATATCGGTCACGCTATAATAATAAATATCGTCGTGTCCATGAATTATATTCAGTTGAAACTGCCAGGGGTAAGAATAATTTAAGAGATGATGAATTGCCCTAATTATTTAAATAAAAAAGGAATTTATTGACGTTGACGGATGTCGTCCATTTGTCCAAAATGTACTTTTGGCGAGAACGTGAGAAGGGAAGTTGTGTAAATTGTTTTATTTTGTTCATTTAGTATTTCTTCAGGTTTAAGTGTGTGATTACGGTGGTCTATAAACCGTTAGCATCTGTTTAAGTGCACAAATGTAGGAAAATAGAACAAAGCCTCTAGACGTAGCTCCTCGGATTCTTCCTAAAAGTCTGCTACGAAAGTCTCAGTAAATAACCACCATTTTACTGAGTATTTAATACATCCTATCTCATTTCGTTTCATTTAATGTCATCCTTGATTGATTAGTCTCAAATTAATCAACTTCATCTTATTTCATTTTGTAACAGAACGTAAGAAGAAAATAGACTTGGCTTAAAAGTCTCGTTACCAAACCGTAAAATCTTATTAAAAATCATTCTTCATCCGTTTCTCTATCTCTGAACTCTTTAGCCGTCTCGTGGAAACATCGTTTATTCAGTTTCCTGATATCACAATGATGCAGAGAACACTATAGAATGAAGTTTTCGAACTTACTTTGAATGTCCACTTCCAGTTTGATGTCGAAATTGAATTTATCGTCGTGTCTCAAGTAGGGGAACGGAGTCGGGTCCTGAGGGAAGTTGTCGACGATGAACGGACGCAGTGCCTCTAAGGTCACTATCCACGGCGAGATGGTGCTGCCGAGGTTCTTGGCCGTGAACGGCCCGAGAGGTATGTACTCCCACTTCTGGATGTCACGTGCTAGAAAAAAAGGTTTTGCGTTCAATTTTTTTTGTTTTGTCCTACCTAAGCTGAGAGCCTTGAGAGGGTATTTCAGCGTAACTTTAACTAGTAGGTGAGCTCGCGGGGCTCAAACCTGACGACGTTGTTAACACGAACCCTAGTAAGAGCCGTGCTTCGCAGAATCTACCACCGAATCGGAAACGCGACCCACTGAGAAGATCCGGCGAGAAACCCAGTGGGCTTGCGTTCAATGACCACGCATGTCTGATGAGTATCATTAGCCACTGCTACGCCAGCTTACAGTAGGACGCCAGTTCGTCTCCTCTTTAGCAGTCATTTTATAAAAAACAAGCTTTTGCCCGCGACTCCATCCGCGTGGAATAGTAACTTTGGCATAATGCTAAATTTTACCCCCCACTTCATTTACGTAGTGAAAATATTTTTGAATTATAGAATGTTAAGGAAGCTATTTAAACCCCTCTTTTGAAACATTCTTTATCGGTGCTCCACTTGTATTGGTCTTACCGTGATATTATAATTATAGCCTTCCTCAATAAATGGGCTATCTAAAACTGAAAGAATTTTTCAAATCAGACCTGTAGTTCCTGAGATTAGCGCGTTCAAACAAACAAACTCTTTCGCTTTATAATATTAGTACAGATTACCTCTCTACTGCTTCTTTGTCAACCCGACAACTTCGTACTATACATTCGCTCGTTGATATTCACCACCGTAGTACGACTAATCATGGGAGAAATCCTCTTCCTTGCCTCGATAATCCTCAATGCTGAGGGTCGTGGCTTCCTCTAACTATTTTTTCCTGAATTACCCTGCGCCACTCCTGCCTATCCTCGGCTGTGTGGATAGTAACGTGGACTGAACTGTTGAGAGTTGAGCGTATCTGGTCGTCTGGCGTTTTACCCTAAATCCTGGTTAACTTTAACGTACTCACCACTCCAGTCGTTCAAAAGCACGAAACCAAAAATTTTGTCTTCGGCGTCCTTGGCGCAGACCCTCTCCCCCAGTTGTGTGGGGGGCCCGCCGACAAATGCCCCCACTTCCAGTTCAAAGTCCATCAGTCTGCAGGGACCGAAGTGGGGCGCCGCACCTGAGATAACAACCTCGTACTTTATATAAATATACTATAGGTTTTCTGGAAGACGTTCCTCCAGGTGAGGGCTTTTTCTTCGATGCGACTCTGAATGTCTGTACGTTTGTTGTCGCATTTTGTACATATTATGAGGCCGTCAGCGCAAAAGCGCCCTAAGCTTACCTGAGCTTACTATAGTGATTATGGTGACAACGAGGTCTGAATTTATTTTTACACTGCCCCATAGGCAAAAACAAAATGCGCAAAAATAATGTTGACAAAGCCGTCTGTTATCTATGAGTGAAACTATGGATAGGCCGGTTTTGCATCAAAATTTATTATGTTTTAAATAAATTGTTATATAGTAGAACCACGAATATGAAAAAATGTAGGATAGGCCACTTTTGTGCTAACGGCCTCATATACAGTGGTGGATTTAGGCCTTTGAGGTGTCACAACATTGTTTGAAATGCCAAAATTTGATAATGATAAACCTTTGATAATAAGTTCAATTTTTTTTTTTATAATATTATAATTTTATTTTAACGTCGTCAATGTAATTCAGGTTTTTATCAAAATCTATTCTATAATAGCTAACGATTAACCGTTACTGTTCTCACTGAATATTATGATGTTTTCGATGAACTAATTTAATTAAAATAGAATTATATTTGAAACTATATTCAGGCTATTACGTCTAAGTCGAGCGAAAACTGAGAAAATAAGTTCTCATCTATCATCAACTCATCCTCCCTGTTTGAAACCTTTGGGAAATGTTTATAACCACAATATAATATAATTATCACACCATATCATTCAGTTTAGTTTGCTACACAAAAAAAATGTTGCACGTGAAAATGTTGCAACTTGGTGAACGTGAAAAAAAGTGAAACTTATTTTGCGGTTTGTAGTAGTAGTGTGGTTTCCCCTATTTTTTATCTTTAAATGAAAATCTCGTGTAATCGAGAATGATGTGTATAAGAGAAACGATTTAGCTCGCTTTGTCTTTTCCCTTTCCACGATCAAGTGATTCGCGAGAAAATAGCCATATTTTCTTACTTTCGCTCTTCCTAAATTGTATCTTTTCGCTCTAGCCGTAAAGAATCTGTCGAGAATTTTCTTCTCAACGTACTTAAAGAAGTTTGACTTAATAAATTTGAAACCGTATTGAATTGTATTTCGATTTACCTTCGACAGGCAAGGTCTGTCCATAAGGCCTGTGGATAGGTGTGCCAGAGATCACTATAGAACTGGAACGTCCATGATAACCCACCGGTAGATGTTTCCTGTAATTTTTTTCACGTATTTATGTTTTATCTAAACTAATATATAAAACTACAGTAGTTTTTACGGATGTTCCGTTATAAATGAACCATATATCCGACTGACTTGAAACTTGGTATCCATGTAGAAAATACATGTAATTAATGGATAGGCTAATATTTATATGAGTGTTGGACTCCCTACACCAGTTGCGGGGGCGTTAATGATGAGAATCTTTGTAGGGGTGAGAAATAATAATTTTAATTTTAAATGCCCAGCGAAGCGGACGGGTACAGCTAGTTGGTCATAAATTTGTCATCGGGAGTTTGAACCGCCCATTCATCATATCACGAGCTTGCGCACGCTTTTGTTTGTTTCTCTCTCGCTCTCTCTTTCAGCGAATTTAAACGTTTGCAACAGAAACTGCGACCTCACATCTCAAGGATGGCCACATTCACATTGTGTGGTGTATTAAAAGAATTGTATTTTGTTATTTATTGTTCTCCGTATTCGCGAGATATTTTCACTCGGAATATATAAAAGTCAAACACACTATTTCAATCATATTTATAATGTTCAGATATAATAATATGTGTAAAGGAGTAAACGACGCTAGGCACTAGACGATACAAATTATACTAAAATTTATATTGAACTTAAATCGGCGCGCGAATCTTGTTGTGATGACGTCAGGGGACCCCTGCGCGTTCGGGAATTCCGATCGCGCCCGATGACGCCCGAGTGCGACACGATATGCCAATGTTGCACGCTACAAAATTATGACAAAATCTTGCCTCTTTAAATGAGACAGGGAATTTGTTTGTCATCCTAAATGATATCGAGTAGGTTTTGTACAGACTTACCAGTTCTCGAACAGAGCGGCCTCCTTTCCCCTGAACATTATGCCTACGTTGGTAGCGTGCTGCAGCGACGAATAGAAGTCTGTGTAATCTCCGACTTCAACAGGCACGTGCATTTGTACGTCCGTCTGCTTCACGAAAGCCCTGTCACATAAGAAATCGTTAGTTATGGTCTTTGACCGTTTTATCGAAACTAAATTGGTAGCGTGATATCGAAAACGCCACTTTTAACCAGGCAATAACAAATAAAAAAAACATTATCATAAAAATGAAAGAATAATGTATTAAATTGTCTGTGTTAACTAACTTTTCACGTAGCTCGGCATTGTTTTGCAATGCAGGACTAGAAACGTCCAGCAATTTCTGTAAAGTTTCCCTTGCCTCGATCCAGTGAGGTTTGGTCAGTGCCATAAACGCGTTTAATTTCTCTTCCTGCAAAAATATTTTTATATTGCATCTTAAGTTTGAAGATGATGGCAGCTAGTGGAGTAATCACTAGTACGATACTACGACAGGCGCTGATCAAGTCATGTCGTTCACCATAAATCAAAATATGTGTGAAACCAGACTGTGATTTTTTTGTGCGAAATTTCATATAAATCCTTCGTCATTAGTACGTGATTTATTAACAAAGAACCTTACGATTTCGGTCCGTGAACATTATTGTATATTGTAAAATTAATCAACGAAAGATTAATCGCTGTTAGTAAACTGAATTATATGTATGACGCATATAATACTACGCTTGTCGTTCCATCAGAATCGCCTTTCGCAGGACCAGAATTTGAGAATAAATTGGAGATATGTAGCATATACTTTGGTGTTTCTAATTACATGATAAGTGATTACAATTGACCAATGACCTTGAATGCGTATAGCACAGCGGAGTTGTCAATATCACTGAAGACCTTTCTCAAACATCATTTGATAGATAGACATGGTTGACGTGGATATAACGCTACTGGATGTGACATTATTATTCGCAAACTAACACAGGGCTGGGATTTTTTCTGTCTCTTTTATTTTATCCGTTTTTTTATTCTATGATTTGCATTTCATTATTTTATTATTAATATTTTCCCCTACCTATTCGCTGGTAGCCTAAGAGGCTATTCCAGCTACGCCCGGATGGGTGCGTGAGCTCATGGGCTCCACCTGGAAGAATTTGCTAACACCAGCCCTAGCGAAAGTAGTGCTTCGCGAAATCTACCACCGGATCGGAATTACGACCCACTGAGAAGATCCGACGAGAAACTCAGTCGGCCTTTTCATTACAGACATATAATATATATAATAAAATTTACATTTCCAAATACAAAAACGATAAAAAATTAACATTTCATTAGTGACCGAACTAAGCACTGGTTTTAAAACCAATGAATACATAATCATCATCAGCCTATAGCAGTCCAATGCTAGATTGACCGCTACTAAGCATGATCTTCGGCTTCTCTCATCCAGTTCCTGACAACTACCTTGTATTATCATCACCGATTCTGAGGGCGTTATATACTACGTTTGCTAATTCGCGGTCTCCACTCAAGAACATTTACCCCAACGTTTGTCGGTTCTGCGGCTAATACGGCCAGCCCATTGCCACTTTAACTTACTAATCCGCTGAGCTATGTCGAGAACTTTGGTTATGATAATAAGTACATATTACTCATAATATATGAATAAACATGACCATAAATTAAGTTTTCCAAGCAAGTAAACAATCTCGACCGTTTATTACTATCGTGCAACATACGAATTGATTTAAATATTAAACAGATCAGAACTGGTAAATAAATAACTTATAGCTTGTTTGTTAAGATTCGTTTTGTTCTGTAAACTTGTTATAAGAATATTCAGTGTTAAAAGTGTTGTAATCCGATATGATGGAATTTTCTAGAAACATTTTCTTTTGATTAAATTTTTAATCAGCTGCTATTTATGTGCTGGATTATAATGAAAAAATTCAAGTAATGAGCTAGATTTGCGTTATTATTTTTAGCGTAACAAGGATATCTCGAGACTAATTTGTTTACTACATCGCAGGGAAAGCCTTCATCACGGAAAAACTTCAGTCGAGTAGTGCACCAAAGTAATCCTTGCTACAAGCACGGTTGCGCTTTTTAAAGGTGTTATCAACGCGTATTTCCTGCCGTTTCATACCTAGGAACATCACCTACCCGACCCTCATCGGCCAATGGGAACCCTGGGCCAGGAAAGTCGAAGCCAATAATAAATCTTATCAATACAGTACATACCTTGAATACATTTTGCTTGCTTTTTAGTAGCGGGCCATCGAATAAACGTGAAATAATATTCAAATCTAAAATCCATTCTCCAATCGCCACGCCGATGTGTTTTTGAGCCTGAAATCATCAAATTAAATGTAAATGGGTTTTGAAACATCCGCGGTCAAATCGAATATGTAGGTACTTGCATTTAGGGATGTGACAATAGCCAAGTTAAAATCTTGGGTGTCAGGAACATTATGGTTCTAAATAAGGCAGTAAATGTTGACCACAATGTCTTTTCACTAATGAACACATATCATACATACATATCATAAAATCAAATAAAATAAAAGGTTTTATTAAATAGTTTTGATGTTTCTTTTTGTTACTATTGTACATTGCGTGACGAATTTATCTTATCGGGTGATGTAACCGCTTACCACTTAGGTACCGAATCATAAATTTTACGACCGTATCTATTGAATAACATTTCAAATTGTACGCTATCTTGCAACAAAGTTCAAGAGCATCAGGAGTTATAGTTATTGAACTGTATTGATAACTCAGGCATTGATTAGGAATGGCCACCGCTCATCACGAAATAACTTATTCCTTCGTATTAGCTAACACTTTCAAAGAATATTGCTTTGATTATAGATTGTGTAGGTTTTGTGATAAGTGTAGGGCACACGAACTACAGTCGCGCATAGAATTAACGGTATTATGAAAAATCGGGCATGATAATTCCTGAATTGTATCTATAATCTTCCCATTCTGTAAGTGATTGACATTAACAACAGGTTCCGAACATTTATTTCAATAACCTTTGGAATATACTGTCAGAAATTGTAAATTAAAATTCCATGGTGCTTTATAGGAGTTCCAAGAGAGTGGAAATATCCGTTTTCAAAAATATAACAATCCGATAGGTACTCGTACGACCAGACTCGAGACGCCCGCCAAGACGGGACGCGAAAAGGTCAAGGATAAACGATCTATTCGCCTACTTGTCCCATTAACTTAGATCATAATATAAGAGCACCGACGCTAGGTATTTTGTATGTTACTTTAAAAGAAAGCGTAATTTATTTTGCAATGTATTCGAAAAAAATTGTTAGACCTGAATGAGAATGAGTCCTGTAAGCGACATACAAAAATATTAAATTCTATTGAGGCCTTGTAGTGCTCGTGGTCCGAAACGCGCTTGACCGGTTCTATTCTTCAAAAATAGATACAAAGTGCAGTCAGGGTGTGTTGGCTGCATTCTTAGCGCTATCGATGAGTTCCACTGACGGTAATCCACTACATTTACACGATAAATGAAAGAAAAAAAACTGTGCATATGATTTCCACCCGGTTTTAACTAAAAACTGCCTACTTATCATTATTATTAATGAGAAAAAAAGCTTAAATTTAAAATGATCTCAAAATTTTTGATGCGAAGCACAATGCGAACGAAACAAATTGATTCTATGTTTAAAAACACTTGTGCGTTATCTCATAAAAAAAAAACGATAAGTGAAAGCCGCATGATTGCGCAGCGGCTAAATTTAATGTACATATTTGACAACGGTTTTGAACTGCAGATAAAACCATCTCATTTTAGGCGGTTAATAACAAACAAAACCAAGCGGTGATAAAGTTCAGCATTCTTTAAATTTTAGTGTCAAAACAAATCCTTAAAATGTATATGTATTGATGTTTTTTTCTTTCAAAATAGCTTATTTATAGGTAATATATCTACTTATACAATATTATCTCAATAGCAAATTTACTTACATTTTTATCAGACGTAAACACACCGTACGGTAAATTTTCGATTGGAAAATCTGAATCTGACGAGTATTCTATGAAAGATTTCATTTTACGCTACGACTTGACACAGCAAATTTTTCGAATGAAATGGGTAGACTGATAAAATGCAACTGACTACAAGTTTTACAGGTTAGTTCTAGTGGGTATGCTAATGATTTTAATGAACTTGTTTGCCGGCTATACGTCCTATAACTGCCCGTGCGTCTCGTTCTATTCGTATCGTATTTTACTTGTTGCGCTGCGTTATCTGTGGTCTACCTGTGTAAAACCCGCGCTGCTATGAAAATATACCCACGTAACTAAAAAAATTAGAACCCTTAAAACTTTTATCGCAGGAACAGGTAGTAAAATACCCTTTTAGCCTTTGTATATTTGTCGAGAATCAGGTTTTGGGGATGACGCGCACAAGTTACGATTCTTCTTATGTTCAAAAACATCTATGTCCAACTAAATAGGTACCTACATCTTGGAACTTAATGCATGACTGCTAAGAAAGTTTTAAAACTCACACAGACACGAACTTATAGACCACAGATGATAGAAGAAGAATACAACAAAATGATGTAATCTTGCTGTCCTGTTCCTTGTACATATTTCCAGAAAGGAATACGCCAATAAACGAGTCACATACTGCTCCTCTGGGAGGAATTTCCCTACACGAAGTCACTTCCTAAGCGCTATGAAATGTTCATTAAACAGTTATGTGCAGTAACGGTCTATGCCTCCGACTTGCTGATATCCATGATCGACGGCGACCACTCATCATCAGTTGAACCGTATTCTCGTTTGCCTTCATATAAAATAGAAAATAATATTTTAGTATTTCACTAAAAACATAAAACAACAAAGCTAGTGAGTTACTTTAGAAGTCGCCGTGGCCTAAAGGATAAGACTACCAGTAGGTATACTCGTATCGAGCGATACGATTATGCCGGTGTTCAAATCCCGCAGGCAGGTAAAAAATCTAATAAAATACAAATTTAGGTTCATGAAGGATTTCCACGATAAAAGGATAATATAGCGTAATAAAAATGAAAGCTGCAAAAAACACTGGTCCATTTCTGCAGTAACGCGCTCAGGTTCGAAGGGTGAGGCAGCTATTAGACTAATAGAACTGAGACCTAGAACTCATGTCTCAAGGTGAAATCGTCGTGGCTTAAAGGATAAGACTTCCGGTGCATTCGTATTTAGCGATGCAACGGTGTTCGAAGTACGTAAGTACGTACGTACGTACATAAGTACGTACGTAAGTAAGTAAGTTCGAAGGCGGGTACCAATTTTTCTAATGAAATACGTACTTAACAAATGTTCACGATTGACTTCCACGGTGAAGGAATAACATCGTCTAATAAAAATCAAACCCGCAAAATTATAATTTGCGTAATTACTGGTGAGTCCGCAAGGGTAGGTACCGCCGCCCTGCCTATTTATGCCGTGAAGCAGTAATGCGTTTCGGTTTGAAGGGTGGAGCAGCCGTTGTAACTATACTGAGACCTTAGAACTTATATCTCAAGGTGGGTGGCGCATTTGTGTTGTAGACGTCTATGGGATCCAGTAACCACTTAACATCAGGTGGACTGTGAGCTCGTTCACCCATCTAAGCAATAAAAAAGGAGGGTGGCGGTATTCACGTCTTGATGTCTGTGGGCCTCGGTATCTAACTAACACCAGGTAGACCGTCAGCACATTCACTCCCCGATAACCAATCAAAAAAAGTTAACCAAAAAAAAAACTAAGAAATAAACCGAGATGGTGTATTAGAGAACTTTATTTCAATCACATTTATGGTATTACAATAGATACAATACGAAGTCGATGCGTTTATATTTTTACAAATCGAAATGTATTTCACTGTTTACTAGTTGATTGTCCTGACGTAGCGCCACTCGAGAATCCGCTTTTACCAGGACAGAGGACACCGGAAAGTCCACGACTGCCTAGAAACAATAACTCTTGTAGTTTAAATTGAATCTACCCTCTAGATTACTTGACTTCATAAACCTTTTGAGTCGAATGATTTGAGGGATCAAACAGCCGCTGTAAAGTACAGCCGTGAAGGTGAATGACAGCATTTGCATCTAGGCTCTCATTCAATACTTCTTTATTTGTTAATCGACTGCAGAAAGAATGTCATCGGTCCAACACAAAATTTAGCGCAAAACAGCGCTAACCGCGCTTGATCACGTTGCTCGCCAATGCTGATACAATTATACTGTATTCTATTCTATTCTATCAGCCCATGGACGTCCACTGCTGGACCTAGGCCTCCCCCAAGCCTCGCCACAAAGACCGGTCCTGCGCTGCCTCCAATTACTCAGTGAACACTAATTTGATAGTTGGGTAAATTATCAAAATTTTATTTTTTAACGAAAACTCAACGTTATATCAAGGATATAATGATCTAACGAAGATGATAAAACACTTCAACGATATGTCAACTGTTTATGACTAGGCAGAAATGCATTATTTCAGCAATAGGACCATACCTGTTTATTTTTCCTTGTAACCAGACGAGCTTACCTAATCTATATCAGCTATGCTATTATATAAATCTACAGTGGTTTTACGGATGTTCTGTTATAACTACTGAACCATGCATCCGATAGACTTGAAACTTGATATCCATGTAGAAACTACATGTGCTTAATCGATAGGCTAATATTTATATGAGTGTTGGACTCCCTAATAATGATAATAAATAATAATGTCAATTTTAAATGCCCAGCGAAGCGAGCGAGTACGGCTAGTAATAACTAATAGTGAGTGGTCATTGTTGTTCATGAGAGGCAGCAATGCCAGGACATAACCTCCGCATACCCAGTCGACGAAGGACATGTCATAAGCGCGGAAGGTAGTTCATTCATAAATCGAATGGTACGAGGCAAAAAATTCTGGAAACGTAGTAATTCCAGATAGTTTGATGATAAAAACGAGATGACGAGACCATCTCAGACAATTCTTCGAAACACGCCCTTAGAACATTCGGTATAAGGACATCACCGAAAACCGAAATCCCTTCGTGGGCTAAAGAGGCATCAAACGATCCGTGAGAACGGGATTACCGATACCTATTTTTTTTTAAAGTTGACAAACATTCTAGAAGACAAACGTTACACGCAACACCACTGTTAATGGTCTGTAAGTGTTTAACTTATATGCTTTTTAAACATTCAAAACGTCAGTTCGTGTTTTAGTTTCAGGTTCCATGATTGAAATGTGCACAAGTCAATTGATATTATTTATTTGATATTAAAACTACATAAACAATTGCTGCTTTAATTATGTGCTACAGTAAGACACATTCTATACGTGACACAAAATTACGTGTAAATTAGCTACATAGGTTTCATTGGATCACTTAAAATATACTCATATATCCTTTTATAAATATATAGATTGTAGGGAAAAGTGTTTATTTAAGATGAAAAATCGTAATTGTTAAAAATTCTGCAATACCTAACCCCCTCCCTTTTATGGCAGCCTCTCGACCACCAGACAGTTTGACTTCAACAGGTCGGTAGGTTTCGGTAACTACCCACAGTGTTGTATTGTCTTACTTCATCACGGGCGTTGGGCAGCGGCTTGGCTGTGCCACTGGCAATGAAGTCCATAACACCATTTACCAATCAGGGGTCCGCATGCCCATTTGCCTTCAAAATCAATAACAAAAACCTAACGAATAATAAACAAATGGCGACTGGCGGTCAATTATGAGATAAAAAGATTTGATCTGACCTCACTTAGTAGAATAAGAATAATACGAATTTTCAACTACACATTTATGAGTACATTTGAGTTTGAGAGCATTTGGATGTGACATTAGAGTTGATTTTTGAAAAACGTTTAGGTACCTACTTTATTAATATTTTTCAACATAAACAAATATATACTTCGGAGCTAAACTCCCTTTAAGGCTGTTTACGAATTTTTTTTAAACACAATCATAATATGACGTATCAATGTTTAACTAGGTACCGAAAGCATGCACTTCTCGGGCAATACAAAATGAGAGACACAGGGTATATTTTACGAGTAAAGTTAAAAATTGGATAAGCTACAGTAAATGTAGGCACTTGGGTAATTTGAGTCTTATAAGAGGTAGGTAATGCTCCACTTAATTACTTTTTAGTTAAATTCATAAAAGAAACTCTCAATGAGAATTTAAATTATAATTTTTTAAAATTTTCTATTTTTCTAAAATAATTTAGTTACTTAAAACGCATCTCTACCTTAGCGTACGTAACTTTGACTATCCTAGTGGAAATTCGAGGTTCAATTATAATATTAAAATCAACACATAACTACAAAGTACCAACATTAGCTATTACTATTTGTATAATAACAAATACAAAATTAATTGAGATTTATTTTTATACATAGCTACTAGGTTTTAATTACCAAAAACTATTATACATGAATATGCAACAGAAAATTTACTACGTTAATATGTGCTTAGACAAATCAATGATATGAACATTTTTAGAAATCTTTCTTAACTTGGACACCAAGTTAATTGCTCAACACAAAGCAATAGGTGATCGTACACATTCGAACAAAAATAATTCGATTTTGGCGTCTTTTGTTAAGGCATTGTCTATAAACATGGAAGGACGGTTTTACCTTGGCAAGTTCACTGCAAAATTTAATTTAATATTAAAACATTGATCTTAATGTGAAAATTAATTATCATAATTTTGTTTCAATATGGTATGTCCTGTATAAATTAAAATCTTTTTTTTTATTGCTTAGATGGGTGGATAAGCTCACAGTCCACCTGTGCTAAGTGGTTACTAGAGCCTATAGACATCTACAACGTAAATGCGCCACCCACTTTGAGATATAAGTTCTAAGGTCTCAAGTATAGTTACAACAACTGCCCCACCCTTCAAACCGAAACGCATTACTGCTTCACGGCAGAAATAGGCAGGGCAGTGGTACCTACTTGCGCGGATTCACAAGAGGTCCTACCACTAGTTTTTGTATTTATGATAACTAATATATATGTGACAACAAAGATATAGATTGTAACATTTTGTTTCATTATTTTAATACCAAAGCAAAGATCATACAGGCAATTCATCAATTCTTACTGCTTGGTCTTCAAAAATTGTGTTATTTTTTTTGTAATTAAAATATAGTGGTCCTGTTTAATAATAAAATACATATTTGTCGCTTTAGTCAAACTGTAATAGTTGATGTAATACTTATTTCGTTTCATATATTTTTATTAACACACACAATAAATTCAAGAATCGGAACTTTTTGTTTGTTAAGTTAAATATGATTTTTATCTATTTGTTACCTAAGATATTTCCTTTGTGACTTATTAACACAAATATCCATATCGACGCTTGAAAGGCAAACGTGACTAAGCGACAATAACTGCTTTGTACATAAATGATAGGCAATAACCATATTCGATGCGCAAAAAAATATATTTCTAGGTCTATTAAAATCATTTCAATCCTACAGCTACATTTGTTAAAATATAATTTTTTTCAGGTATTTCTCAGGTATATTTTAAATTAATTTTAACTTTAAATTAGTCTACTGTAAAGTTCACGCATTGTCGCTTAGTCACGTTTGCCTTTCAAGCGTCGATATAGACTCATACCAATAAATATTTCAATTAGACAACTACACTAAATTACTCTGTTTTATTTAGATAATTTTAATATAACATACAAAAACGGAGAATGCTGCCACTATGACACTGAAGCAGTACACAAAATCGCACATTTATCCAACTCAAATTCAACAATTCCAACTAAATTACATGTGCAAATATATATACACTACAAGAGACAAGAGACGAAGTGATTTTAATTCCTCTGAGACAATATATTTTAATATAAAAGACACATTGTATTAAATTATTTCATTGTATTACATTGCAAGGCTATGTTACTTAATACATAGCCTGAAATGCAGTACTGTTAAAAAAATAAAGTGATTTATAGAAGACTTCTAATTGGATAATAATCCACATCTTAGAAGTCAATGAATTCAAAGAAGAACAATTCTACATTAACAGACTCCACGGAACAAATGAGTGATCACAAACAGTAGACTAATATTTCTTTTACCGCATCGTCTCTCATCCCAATACCAAGAAATAAAATTCTTATCTACACAGTGTCGCGTCGATCTGGTGTAGTGTTGGAAGCAATATCTTCAATTTCCTTCTGTAAGCTGGATCTGAAGCTATCGGGTTCCTCTCCAAATATATTGTGGATAATTTGTTGTTTTGTTGCAAATATTCTATCGATGACCATTCTGTTATTTGATTGTCGTTTAACTAAAATAAAAAAGGCTTTTCATTGAATGCACAACACAACTAAAATTTTGCATTACAATAAATAAGTTAGAACCTTTAAATCTACTTAAAAGGATATTTAGACTTAGGGACTTTTAGAAGGCCCAAAGTGATTTAATTATTTTACTTTCAAAACTATTTTGCTCATTTCATTTTTCCTTTATACATATTGTGATACTACGTAACATAATAATCTGCTGAACAGCAGATTAGGGAAAACTCGTAGACAGGGACGTCTTAAACTAGGATGGGGCCCTTGGGCACACAAAAATTTGAGGCCCTTTTGGAAAGTAAAAAAAGCGAATTATAATAACATATTTTTACTGAGTATGAGACCATTTATTATAGGTAATCAAATACAGTATGATATATATGTCATTAATGATATTAGACTGCTGCTGGTTTTTTGGTTACGATTTCGATAACGGTTTCTTTCGGGATTTCTGTTAAGCAAAATCTTCTATTATAGGCATAGTATAGGTAGGCCTTGTAAATACCTTCTGATTACTGATTTGTGAAAAAAGTGTGATATGCCCGACAAAAATGTTTTGAGAATAAACGTGTGAGAGAAATTGTCGGTCTTTCGGGCCCCCCTGAGAATGGCGGCCCTGGGCACGGGCCCCGTGTGCCCTTATGGTAACGGTAGACGGTATTGCTCGTAGATATACATTTTTTTTTTTCTATTGCCTTGTTTTTATTGTTTCAATTAATGAACGATCCTCTAAGCCTTTGTGGTGTTAAGTGATTCCCTGAGCTTATTGACACCAATGCCGCCAGTCAACTTGAATCATGAGTTCAAAGTCTCAGTTTTATAGTTAGTACATGGTTCAATTCTATAGTACAAACCCTAAAATGCGGAAATGGGCAGGGTGGCGGTACCAGTGCGGGCTCACAACATTAGTTAATCTAAATTTTAATTTTATTTTAATTAATTTGTCAATTAACTTATGCTTCAATGTGTTTTTTGCAAAAATTGGAGAAAAACCATTGCTTAAAAAAAAAAAAACTCACCCATAGCTCCTCCAAATCACTCATATGCCGAACATTTTCTATAACAGTGATCCTGTTCACGGCCAGATCCAAGGTCTGAAGTTTTGTTTGATTCTCCAAATTTTCTATAGCTGTTATACCATTCTCTGAGATATAGAGTTGATCTAGTTTATTCAATTGTTCGAGATTTTCAATTTTAGTTAATCTGTTTGCCTGAAGAACCAGTATCTCCAAGTTGGTCAAATCCTCAAGGTTTTGTATTTTGCTTATTTTATTTTTACCCAAATATAATTGTTTGAGGGTCCTCAAACCTTCCAAGTTTTTTATTTCCTGTTAAAATACAAAATACCTACTCTTAATATATATTATACAAAAAAATTATGTGAAGTAATACATATAAAGAGTTGTAAGAAACGAATCTCTGTCGGAATCAGAAATTTATTAACAGTCTAAATTAATGAAAAAACAACATTAAATTACTAGGAGCTGAGATGCATGCTCTCGAAATTGTGTTTTCTTCAAATTAGTTAAAAATCATCTCTCTTAAACACAATCTTATGCGTGTTCTGTTGTTATGAGCAGTGTTTTTTTTTAAATTTTTTGTAGTTCTTTTTTCATAGATACGTATTTCTCCAGATTGGTCTCCTGTAAGGCTCCATTTTAAGAGAATTCATTGTGAAATAATTAACAATTCTATACTAAACTTAATTTGGCCTTTTCATACACATAAATAAAAACGAATCGATCGCGCACATCAATCTATTTTTAATTGTAGCATGCCAGTATGTGTATGTGTAGTAGCACACCAGTATGCACTCAAAAAAAATCAACAAAATCTACATTTGTGATGGTGATTTTTTTGTGTTACATTGCCCAGAACTTCTTGTTAGTGTAGTTCCTAACTCTCATTGCTTGTTGTAACTTTTTGCCATACATCTTGTATATTTGTACTGGTGCTATTGATTCTATTATACTTTATTATGCTATTGAATAAAAAATAGAAGTTGTCACGCATACTCTAATTCTATTATCGCCCAGCTCCAAAAGTTCAAGGTTTGGTAAATGATTAACATTCTTGATTTCAGTGATCTTGTTTGAGCTGAGGAATAATTTCTTGATGTTCAGCAGCTTTTCGAGTCCTGTTATCTCTTTTATCCTATTGAATGATAGGTCTAATATTCTGTAACAAGAGAATTAATGTAACAGAATTCTTAGGAGAGCTGGAGTGTTTAAATCTAGAAACCACAATGTGAGAAACAAAACCGTCTGGAAATAAAAAGGCTAAACCAAACTATAAACTATTAAATATATACTATATTATTAAAACAATTCAAAATAAAATCAGAAACTCTTGCATTCTTCCCATCTTTTAATTTACAACTTACTTATATTGACTCCTAACTTGGCAGAGCAATGGTGCAACAGGTGCAGAACACCAAATGTCCCAAAAATTACAGGGTGTTAAGCAGTGAAATCAGGTAAAGGTACTTCTACAAATGAGTATTTTTATATTTGTAGGTAGTTATATTGGTGGTAACTCAAGTAAAATGTCGAAGAATAATCTTCAAACTACTACTTACTCCAAATTAACAAGACTATCAAGGTTTTCAATAACAACAATCTGATTGTCATACAATTCCAGTTCTACCAGTGACTGCAACATTTCTAAGCCTTCAATTTTCTTTATCAAATTCCATCTCAAATATAACCTGGAAAAGAAAGTATGAGTCATAGATGCTACTGCATTGATAAAGTTCCATTAAAAGCGAATGGGCATATTATGCTTTGAACTGAGGAATTAATTTAACATTGCAAATGGTTTTATCTATAACATGCTCAAACTCATGATCATAAATTAGTTATTTAAAGAAGCAATGTACATTAGGGTACACTTTATTTTAGTGACAGTATCTGCCATATTTACAAAATTTCATTAAACAAGGATATGAAAAACATATCTGTAAGGATACTTAAAGTTCTTGACAATGCATTCATTAAGTCGCAATTTAAAAATTTAATGAGTGTAGAAGTTTTTGAATGATTAATGCCTGATTTAGACATTTAGTTTATTTTCTATACCTCTCTAGCTTTTTTAAATGTTCAAGATTCTCGATCTTGCCTATACGGCCGTGATTTAAGTCGAGTTCCTTGGTCTCCTCGTTGACTAAAATTATCTCGTTAGTATCCTCGTCGGCCGGAGGTGGTGTCGCCGGTGGTGAGGCAGACCCTTCCCGATCCTTCCTTTCATCATTTTCTTTCCCATTGCTCACTGTTATGGGCACATCATCTGCTTCGTTATTAGTCATATGTGCATCTTGCTGAGCTGCAAATCCAACAATTATATGTTTACCCAAAAATTTTGTACAACTTATTTGGACCTATGAAAATCATCAATCAATCATCTGTGTGAACTGTTATTTAATTGCAGTAATTTACTACTTACACATTATTGGTGTCTGCCAGTGATTGTATACGTCTGAAGAAATTTCTGAATTCACAAAGGAGAAAGCTTTTTTTATTTAAGTTATGGCATAAATTCTTTTCATAATAAGTGGCAGGCAAGTGCATCATCTATGCCACAGGTTGACAAAAGTAACGAAGCCTATAGAGCCAAGTTTTTTGTTTTGCCAAGAAAAGGATGAACTTTCAAACCTTTCAAACCTTGCGTAATGAATTTTAATTTATCCATAGGTCACTATTCTTATCTGGCTAGAAGGACTATGCCTTACCGATTCAGTTGTTTCTAACGCAACGAAATAGGCAAGTTTTCGCATTGTAGGACAGAAGCTAACACCCGTATCTTTAGTCGTTCACACGAGCCTAACTCGACTCGACTCAACCTCCAACGCGCGTTTTGGTATGATTAGTCGTAAAAATAAACTCCACTCAAACGTCCTTGGAAAAATTTCCTAACCGGAGTGAAGTGACCGAACTGTCAAGTTAAGGTACGTCGCGACGTACCTTGAACGTTCCTCAAAACAGCGTTTAATACAAGATGANAATTTTCCTCAAACTGATGTTGTCGTGGTGACGCAATAGCACCTTTCTACCTCACTCGAGGACAGTTGAGGAATATTGTAATGGTCGACTAAAAATACCAAACTCGAGTAAGTTTGGGAGGAATATTCGAGCATCATCGGATGAGTTTAGAGTGGAGGACTATTTTACGAAACGTCTAAAGATACGGGCATAAGTCTTCTATTTGAAAATGAAATTGCTACCTCTGATGATTATCTATACATCTATACATATAAATAAAATTGGAGTGTCTGTTTGTAATATCGAAATAACCGCTTTTTACTACATGCATATGAATATACATACGGTACATACACCAAAATAACATTTTTTACAATTTTTGTCTGTCTGTCTGTCTGTTTGTTCCAGCTAATTTCTGGAACGGCTGGACCGATTTTGACGGGACTTTCACTTACAGGTAGTTGATGATATAAGGAGTAACTTAGGCTTTTTTTAGACTAGCTTCGCTCCGCGGCGTCACCCGCGGTACGATAATAAACGCGGGTAACATCGCGGGACTCGGCTATCAATAATAAAATTTAATATTTCCGAAGCGAAGCGAGGGCGGGTCGCTAGTTTGAAATATGTTAACTTTAATTTTATACGTTTTGGAAGTAGCCAAAAAGTTGTGTTCAACAACTTTTACAGTAGCAGTTACCCATGTTTTTGTAATTTTACCATTAAAGGCATTCTTAATGCACTTTTACAATAGAAAAACAACACAATCCCGCTTTTGTGTATTACTATCTGAATTCTATGTTCCTTGTTGTCCAAAAATGAAAATTCATCAAGGTTTCGTTAACAAAAAGATTGAAGTTTCAGTTAATTTTAACTGTTCCACTTGCTTTACTACACCATAGAGATTTATTTAGAGCCTAGCCCTCATTGAAACCATCCCGCTCTATTTTTTTACTCCATTTTATACCTTCACCTATAATAGTAAGTAGGTTTTCTTTACCGCCAGTCTGTAGGACAAAAAGTGAATATACTGTGGGCTGCAAAGAAATTTCAATAATATGTTTTCTTCCAGCCATAGACTTTTTGCCGGGAACGCGAGGAGTGAAATTGTGTGATTTGTTTTATTTTGTCTAATTAGTGTTTTTTAAGGTTTAAATGTGTAATAACGGTAGTTAATGAACTGTTTAGTATCTGTGAAAGTGCACAAATGTGAGAAAATGAAACAAAGCTGCTGAAAGTAACTTCTCGGGATCTTCCAAAAAGTCCACTGAAAAAGTCTCAGTAAATGACATTTTACTGAGATTATACTTCATCCATTATCATCTCATCTCATTTCGTTTTCATTTCTTTTCATGCCATGTTTCATAATAATCAACTTCATTTCATTTCATAATATCATTTTCATATAACAAGTTACGTATCATTAAAATTAAAATAAGACTTGACCTAAAACTCTTAGCCACCAGGTCATAAAATCCCTTAAAAAAAAACTTCCAACCATAGATAACACACCTTCCCGCCAATTTTAAGATAACCTTTCAATCACTTTTTATAGCTTTTTAATATGTTTATAGTTTTACACCGCCTTTAATCTCGTCTTGAATAGCACATATAAAACTACTAATGTTAATTTCACAAAACAGTGCATTTCTATAGAAGCTAGTGAATTCATATAGTTGCTAAATAAAAATAAGTTCATAAGCAATCACACAAATTAAATGAAACTTAGCCAATAAAAGTCAATAACAATAACAATAAAAAATGGACGAGAAAGATGAATTATCACAGCTTGAAGAACTGCTCAGTGCTGACTTCGGTGAAAATACTGAAATGAATGCACAAAATAACACCAAAGAAGTAGACATATTTCAGCAAACTACAAACTTAAGAAGTGAAATGCCATCATCAAGTACAGCTGAAGTTCCTTCTATTGTACACAATGGAGATACTGATTCTTCAGACGACGAGGAAAAGCGGGACTATGCAGAAAGGAAGTACAATGATTACGGTTCACAAGTAAAAAAATCATTAGACAAAATTGAACAAGATCAAATTAATCAAAGACTGGATTTTGAGAGTAGATTACGACAAACAAACATGGAAACTAAAGTTTCACGTTATTCCAAATTCACAAAAAAACCTAACATTGAACCTAGAAATGTGTTCAGTCCTCCTAAAGTGAAAAGTAATAAAAATGCAGATGTTTACACAGACCCTATATTCAATATTAGGATTACAAAGCCATTGCTATCTAGTTCAGTTTTGCTAGAGAGAATGCAAGGTAGAGAAGCTATAAGCATGCTTAGAGTAAAAAGGCATGTTGAGAATGAAGACTTGTCAAAAGATTGGGTGATTGCAGGTGTTATTGTTAGGAAAAGTTCAACTAAACAATCTCAGAAAGGAAGTCAGTTTATTATATGGACTCTCAGTGATTTAAAAGATGATATGAAAACGGTTTCTATATTTTTATTTAGGAAAGCCTATAATGAACTATGGAAAACTGCTGAAGGAACAGTTGTTGCAGTTCTTAACCCTAATGTATTAGATAGATCACAGAATAGCGCAGATCAGGCTTGCCTCAGTGTTGATAATCCTGACAGAGTTATGATCATAGGACTCTCCAAAGATTTTGGTATTTGTAAAAGTAAGAAGAAAAATGGGGAACCATGCACAGCCTTTGTCAATATGAATCAATGTCAACACTGCATTTATCATGTAAAACAAGAATACCAAAAGTTTTCACAGAGACAAGAACTACAATCTTCAACCATGGGCAAGGGTTTAGTAAGTTTACAAAATAAAGTTTTAGGAAAAAACACTGTGATCTATGGAGGCAAAGCATATTCAGCCTTACAAAGCGGAAATAACAAAAAGATAAAAGAAAAAGATCAAAACAGACTGATGTCACTCAGTGACTATTACAAAACTGAGGGTGACAAGTTAATCACTAACAAAATGCCTTATGGGGCAGGATTTGTGAAGAACAATAGTGCATTACACAGTCCGACTACACAAAAAACTAGTGATACTGAAAGACTCAGCAAATTGTCCAACTTTAATACACCTACAAACTCAAAACAACTTAGCCTTGCAGAAAAACTGACTAATTCTCCCACATTAGGCAAAGGATTTAGTATAAAAGGCAGTGGAACAATAGACCTAAATATATCATACAAACAAAAGGTAGCTGAAAAAGCAAAATCCAATGCAATCAGAATAATTCAACAGAATGGTGGATTACCAAAATTAGATCCTAATAATTTAAATGGAACTGCTGCTGGGAAAAAAAGAGCTTTAGAAAAATTGAATGGAATGAATGATGAGAATAGCAGTAAAAAAGCAAAATCCAATCATGAACAGAGCAACACTGGGAAAATACTCTCTGAAAGGTTCCGTAAAATATTAGAAGCCACATCAGTACATCAAGACTTAGTAAAACAACATGAAGATGATGAACAAGAGAAGTATTTTAACAAATTAGAGAAAAAGGAAGCAATGGAAGAAAAAATGTTGAGCACATATAAACTTCCATGCAAAGCAGTAAGATGTGCTAAATGTAAATACACTGCATTTTCTGCTGCTCAACGGTGTAAAGATGAAAGACATCCTCTAAAAGTATTAGATACATTTAAGAGGTTCTTTAAATGTTTGGATTGTAAAAATAGAACTGTTTCTTTAGAATTGCTGCCTCTGCATTCTTGTAATAATTGTGGAAGTTCACGGTGGGAGAAAGCTCCAATGTTAAGAGAAAAGAAAATAACGACACTTTCTGATGGTTTATCCATCAGGGGTGAAGAAGAAACATTTTTGGGTGGACAAGTTGCTACTGGCAAAAATATAAATCTATTGGTACCAGACAGCTAACATAAAAGCAAGATTAATTTTATACTGAGTTTAAATGTTTTGATACTATTTATACACTTTAATTATTATAGGATTAAATTTTAAATAAAAATCATAGTGAAAATAAAGCATAATATAATTTTAATTACGAAACTTTCAGTCAATAACACTGAACCATTCCATAAACTTAGATTTCAATACAAGAATTAATTATAACAATCAAGTTGCGCAGAACAGTTTGTAGGCTTTTCAAAATTTTTACACAGCCTTCGACAATAAATTACTACAAGTTACAAATTGATCAGTGGAGTTCACAATATGAGACACATTTCAAACCTGTGTTTCTTTAATGTATTTACAAACATTCAGGCAGTGGTCTAAATCATTAAGGAAAATAAATTGATAAAATTCTATAGTTGTGGTCCAACATCAAAATTAAAACTACTTTAAAATGTTTACATATTTTTTTTAGAAAAAGTAGACATACATACATACATACTATTCAGGCCCAACTGTTATATGGTAAAACAAGAAAAACGAAAATATGGCCCTGGGAATCGTCACCACATATGTTGTAGATTGATATAGTGACGATGTCTTATGATCCACGCTAGGCACTTGAAAACAGTTATAAAATAAAACAAAATTAACTTCACATTGTCCATGATATATTACAGATGTTTAAACGGCGCGATTGACATCACGTTGTCATTGTTGTATAAAATGATAATACATATTAGCTAATCACATCACTAGGAACCAATTAGTTTCCGATGTTTGGACATAACCGCGTCATTCGCGACCACTGCCCTGTGGGTGCGTTCGGTCAGTACAAAATATATAAAAAAAGTAATGGAGGCTATCATTCCCATTCTGTTGTGGCGGGCGGTTTCGGTGTTAGGTCGTATAATACGCGAGATATTCCAGGCACGGTCAAGAGCTTCTTACACATTCTGTCCACAACCTGTTGAACATATAAATTAGGTTAAAGACTTATAGCATAAATACATGTAATTTATATTCCAAATAGTCATTGGATTTATATAGGAACTGGGAACAAAAAAAATGGTTAAAAACTCGTTTATAACAAGCGGTGTTGGCTTGGCTTTTCCAAGTAATCATTCCAGTATAACCAGAATGAATGGGCCCCAGAGATAGGTAAGCTATCATGTTTTTTTACAATATCATATGCAGTGCATTTTAATTCTAATATCCATAGGTTTCTTAAGGCAGTAATACTCCCATCAACAGTCAATAATATTATGGGATCATCATGCCTTTTTCTAATAATCCCACCAATTTCTCAGATTCAATAATTCTGCAATTCCCAAAAAAGTCAACTTTAGATAGGCGACGCCCTTAAAACCACGTCAAACAAATCTAATAGAAATAAAATAATAGGAGTCATACGTCTTGAGGCATGTGGTCGGATCCCGGGAGTGCGGCGAGACCGGTCATGAAGTCTGACGTGACGAAAGGACGCAGTACGATAGACCGCTGGCACGAGGCGGCGCGCACCGCGGCGTCGCGGTCGAACTGGATCGGGATCAGCACCACCGGCATCTGTGCGATGCGGCCGGCGCATCCGCTCTGGGTCAGCACCTGACATCGAACACATTCACAATTTTTTTTAAAAGGATTTTATGACACATTTAAACCTGAAAAAATACTAAATAGTCAAAATAAAACAAATCACACAACTTCAATCCTCCCGTTCCCGCCACAAAGTCCACATTCTCAAATGTAACAATTCCAACGAAGATGCCACTTGTAAGACACAAATCAGTATTGGAATGCTTACCTGTGTTGCCAGGTCGTCGGCCTGTCGTAAAGTTGAAACAACTTGTTGCGTAAGGAAAGTTGGTGTGATATCTGTTACTTGCTCCTTGATCAGACCTCCAAAAGCGTAACATACCCTGAAAACATTTCATTTCAAAAGTTAGAATTACAAGTATTAGATTAAAATAAATATCACAACAAACTAATAAAAAAACATCAATAATTCATAATCGACAATCTTGGACTGCATTAAAATTAACTGTGGATTTAAAATAATTTAGTTAAAAAAGGGCATATGAGTCGTCTATTATCAAAGCCGGCAATCTGACTTTTGAACAATATTGGTAAATCAGAAAAACGAATTATTGACTTTGTATTCCATTGGCAGTCACAAAACTCTTTGAAGTTTTTGAAGTTTTGAACCGTATTCTTTGAAGGAGACGATTATATTCAAATCAATCTGTATTGACATATCAATAACATTTTTTTGTCCAAATGCACAGATTGCCACCTTTGATAATAGACGACTCATATATTCTTTTAACGCATTGTAGAAAAGTTTTGACGCCAGATAAACCATATTCTCGTTACCCACACTCGTATTATAATCATGCTGGGTCGAGTACTGGCTTATTTACCGAAAACTTTTATGTAAAGCTTCCTTTAATGCATAAAGCCTTTTTACTGGTGGTAGAACCTCTTGTGAGTACGCACGCGGTACCACCACACTGCCTATTTCTGCCGTGATGCAGTAATGCGTTAGTACTGCTAGTAATGGAATAAATAGATGTCGTAGCGTGCGACAAAATCATATACCTGTTAACATTATGACAGATCCTCGGTATTATTTGAGCGAGATACTGCATGTCTTTCCAATCCGGAGGATACTTCTCCGTTGACAATGCCACGGCATAGCTGTATGTTCTGCAATCACCTGAAACAAAATATTATTTAATCGTTTTATTTGATAAGATTAGTCTCAATGGTATTCAAGTTAATTTTGTTTGTATGTCTATTTGGAGGCAACTCCAGTAACCATTTAACACCAGGTAGGTCGTGAACTCGTCCAACCATCTAAGCAATAAAATAAAACAGTCATACGGTCCATCTGATCGTTCATGTACGTCAGGAATGCTAGAGGAACTAGTAAGACGCTGCATAATCTACTACTACGCTGCTTCTTGACATCGGCGAGAGTTAAAATGAAATTGTGCAATGTAAAAATCTCTTTGTCTCCGCCTTATCCCACTAGGGATTGGCACAGCTAATTTTTCTATTCCATTCTCTTCTATCAGCCGCCATCTCAACACCCACTCTTCTCACTCTCACATTGTCATTCACACACTCCATCCATGTTTTTTTTTGTCGATCTCGTAATAATGTAATTTTTCAAAAATGCCATTATTAACATTGTACCTTGCACTCCGACCGTTCTGATGGGCAGCAGCGTGGCGGCGACCTGGTATGCGGACGAGATGCGGCGCAGCTTGGCGTGCTCGGCGGGCGTGCTCGCGTTCACGACGCGGCCCAGCAGCGCGTGGGACTTGAGGTACATCGATGCGAACTCCACTATTATTTTTACTATCACCTGTTTTAATGAACGATTTATATATAGGTTATAATCGAATTATTATGGTTATTAACACATTATTATGAATATCATATTCAGAATGGTTACTTAGAATTGGGTATCAGCAACTTTAAGCACGACCCCGATACGGGCCAATGATTTTCTAAGAATATGTATATCCGCTGTTATACACATCGATCGATGCAAGGTCAGGTCAAGGTCATGCTGGTGGCCACATCGTAACCGGAGAAATAAATTTGTAGTGTTCACCTGCGTTTCGGCGAAGTCCCTCTCCATGAACGGTTCGTCTTGACATATGACCCTGACGGCGAGGCCGGGGCCCGGGAACGGGTGCCGCTCCACCAGCGCCTCGGGCAGCCCCAGCTCCATCCCCAGCGCTCGGACCTGGACCAGACGCAACATTGTTTACATTAATCTACACAAACAAAAACTACTCCTTCAGCTTTATCTACGGCGTAGGTTTCCAAGTTGAGAGCTGCCAGCGTCCGCCAGAGATACCACGGCAATTTAGCTAAAAATGTTGAATTACCGGTATAACATTATTACGCGATATACTAATCTATAATAATTTTATAGAATTAAAAATCTCAGCCAAATTTGTTAATTTGAAGAGGGTTGGCCCAAATTCCTTACATGTCAACATTACTAGACGGTGGGATAATCTAGCAACGCTAAGAGTTGTTGCCAAGTGGCAACTTCAAATCCATCCACTAGTAGAGTTATTGAGGGAGGGGAGTGCTCTGAGGGATACCATCATCTCATTTTTACCATCGCACCGCCCACCACCGGAGTAGAGTTCATCCATACTACCTGTATCCACTGCGCTCATACACAATGCGTTTTCAGAGATCTTTTTTGCCACGCACCATCTGGCTTTAGTATGAGTTCTCCACGTCCTTCTTCAAACTTGACTTATGGAGAGTACTTAACGACAGGCAGTGATTTGGCTTTGGCATTGCATAAATCCATTGGCGACGGTAACCATTCACCATCAGTTCGGGTCTAAGTTCGTCTGCCTACAAGGGCAATAAAAAAAAAGAGGTACCTCGTCTTTATGGAAGTCCTTCAGAGGCTCCACGACCCGTCCCCTCTGCCGCAGCGCCCGCACCAGCTCGGTGTCGTTGTGGTGCGTCTTGATGGTGTCGGCCTGGCCCGAGCACAGCGCCGACGCGGACTCGATGAGGTCGGGGCGCAGCGTGCCCTGCCCTAGAAGTACTTCGTCCTCTCTGTTCAATTTAATCATATGACACATTACATGTAAAATCATCGCGAGTTTGTGAAAAAACGTTTTGTGACCATTACAAATTTTTCCAAGAAATGTGTAAAGAACAAATAAGGCCAACTAACAGGTTTTTTTTTATTGCTTAGATGTGTGAACGAGCTCACAGCCCACCTGGTGTTAAGTGGTTACTGGAGCCCGTAGACATCTACAACGTAAATGCGCCACCCACCTTGAGATATAAGTTCTAAGGTCCCAAGTATAGTTACAACGCACGATTGCCCCACCCTTCAAACCGAAACGCATTACTGCTTTACGGCCGAAATAGGCAGGGCGGTGGTACCTACCCGCGCGGACTCTCAAGAGGTCCTACCACCAGCAAATTCTATTTCAAGAAATATGCAACTTCATTTTTTTTATTCAGCTTTAACAGTAAGTAGTTCATTATATTCTAAGGATATTTGTAATGTTTACAAAGAATAAATCTTACTTACTGCAGATTAAGTTCGTGGACGGCCTGTTCCGCGATCCGTATGAATACATCTCCTATGATCTTCCGCTTGTCCTCCGGCGAGGCGGTGTGACACAGCGGCCCGGCGTGGCGGGACCAGCCTCCTGACTCGCGGACCACTGTGCTGCCGTGAAAGAACTGAGGAAAAACAAACAGATATATCACAATCAATGTACAATGATTTTGATGCGTGCTTTAACAAACTAAGTTACAAGTAAGTGGCCTATGGTAATCAACCTGCTGTCATCTGTGCTGAACATTGGTGAACAGTGTCAGATAGGTTATATAGGCATCGGTTATTTGTGACAGAATTGGTAGTTAATGATCACATGTTGAACCCGCTCCCCTCTCTCCTTGCAATGGCAGTACACACATTAGATTGTTAACTTGTATTTTAACACAAAAAGTGTATGATTTTGTATAATGGATGAGATGTGGTGAAAGTGTTTTGTTTAACTCTTAAAATATATGTACTGTTATTCCAATAAGCTAATACAATGTTTTAATGTAATAAAATGTAATGACCCCCACCTCCAACATATGCACTCGAGCACAAGTGGCTATACATTCTTTTCAGAACTGCTTTAACACATTTCGAATGATACAGAATGGATATTTTGGTCCTCAGTTTTTTTGAAGCATTTTTTTCTTGTGGAGCTTGAAGAGTCTGATAACCTCTAAGGTCATCAGTTCATCTTATAAAAAATCAACTTATATTGTGTATTAATGGACGTCATGGTTAATATGTATGTATAAGATGTGCTATCGTATACCTGATGAGCGGCGTTAATGACGTGCAGGCGGACTCCCAACTCACGGAGGCACCTCTCAACTTTGGCACTTTCGTTCTTACGCATAAAACCTTGAAAAATAAATATTAATTAACAACACCATCAATCTATGATGTAAACATCAAAAGTACATATTTATACGAAATTTCATCTAAATCCATTCTGCAATCTCTGTGTGATTGAGTGACAAACATCCAAATATGTTTTTATTTATTTATTAGCTGACCCGGCAGACTTCGTAGTGCCACAGTCGATAAATAAAAGACCTAAACTTTTGTATAAAATAAACTTAAAACAAAGATAAAGAATCCGTCCGACGGGGGACGACACATTAAAGGAAAAACAAAATTGTTATTTTTATTTAATTAGGAGCATTTTCACATTTATCTTTTAAACTTCTAGTTTTTAAACAAAATTTCTAGTTGTTCTGTCTTTAATATAAATAACCGATTTATGTTAAACTGTGATTTCTTACCATTATCAATGTGTAGTGCTATGACCTGATCCTCACGAAGCACTGTCCTCAGCAAGGCTGCACATACCGTTGAATCCACACCGCCACTCACCAACACCTAATTAACACTAACAATTTACTAATAATTTCTAAATAATATACTAATAATTTCTTTGTGAAACAGTATTACGGAAGTCAATAGACTGATGTAGACCAATTCGAAAATTCTATCATTCCTGATATTATGAAAATACAGTAGCCGGCAAAAGGGTGCATTGCGAACTTATGTGGGGAGGTATGACGATCCTGCTTGTTTCTGATACTATGCTTTACGGTTTGAAACTATCCACACACTTTTACTTCATGCATTCATATGTCTGTCTACACAATCCGCTTAATAAGCAAATGGGCTGTAAGCTCGTCTCAGAGCAATAGAGAAGGTAACGTAATTAGAGCAGCACAATAAAATCCGATATAAGATAGTCCAAACTATAAAACATATGTGTTTAGAGCGTGGACTGTATTTTGCTGCTTCAATAAGCTGCTTCATAAGCTTCAATAAAAACTTGATTCAGAGTGAAGGATTTTTATTTTTTTATGTATAACACGTGCACGTACGATCAGAATTTTTTTGTAGATGCAACTAACTGTGTTGCCATACTTATTAGTGTGTTCCTAGATTTAAAAACAATCAGTTACAATTTTATGTGTAGGATTGCCTTAAACCAACGGTTGGGGAACTTTTTTAATTATTAACCCAAAATATTTTTGTTTAAGTTGATATTATCCCATGGCGAAGAACAAAAAAAAAACGAAATCGCAAATTTTTAGCATCTTTCATATTATAGCCTCCATGATAATTTTGAAAAGAAAACAATAACTAGTCAATCACGTGAACTTTGTGTTTATAAATAATAATGTGTTCTATCTCATTCTCTCGCCGGCTGAATCCTATACATTCATGTGATTGTGTCTCTATGGACTTATTTTTTCGTTTCGTTTCATTTCGTTTCATCGAGTTTAAAATCACAACGATTCTAAAGAAGTTTCACTTCAATATATACTTTTTACTCACAAAAGTTACATTTTTACCCCCCAAAATTTCTTTTTACCCCATTTGGGGTAATTTACCCTGGTTCCCCGACTGCTGCCCTAAGCAATATGTTGTGGAGTGAAGTTAGTTCGTACTGACCAGAACTTTATTGTTTTCGCCGACGGTCTCCTTGATGTACTGCACGCAGGCCTCGCGCCGACAACGCAGCGTGAAGGAGCGCGAGAGGCCGGCGATGTCGAACAGGAAGTTGGACAACATCTGCTTGCCTTTAGGGGTTAGATCCACCTGAGGACGTTAAAATAACGCGCGTCTTCAAAATGTTACAAATACGCTCGGGATAGTTCTTAACGGTAGGCAACGGCTTGGCTCTTCTCCGGGCATTGCTGAAGTCCATGGGCGACGGTAACCACTCACCATCAGGTGGGCCGTATGTTCGTCTGCCTACAAGGGAAAAAAAAGTTCACTTACAAGTGCTGACTATTTCGCAGCTTTTTCTTTTTTTTATGCTACCTATTTTAGTAACCTCGAGGGGTTATTCTAGTTTCACCGAACTAGTAGATGAGCTCACAGGGCTCAAGCCGGGAGTGTTGCTAGCACTGGCCTTAACAAGAGTGGTGCTTCGCAGAATCAAGAATCAGAATCAGAACAACCGGATCGGAAACGCGACCCACTGAGAAGATTCGGCGAGAAACTCAGTAGGATGTGTCTGTGGGTCAATTGATTCCTTGAGCCCTTCGTCGCAAGCGACGGTTTCGACGAAGACGGTGGCCGGGTTTTGTTATACTGATTATAGTCATTTACAATTTACTGATGTGATTTGATGAACAATGTTACGAAATTCAAATCCATTACTTTCGTTTGAATATTGCTACCCTGCAGTTACACTTGCGCTAAACGACATTTTACCGATATGGTATTACAAAAAAGTTGATCTATACATTAATAAAAACAGAGTAATTGCTTGAAAGTAACGCTTTTGCTAACCAGATCTACCGGATATAATTAGTACCTCGGGATGGAACTGCACCCCGTACAGCTTCATCTGCTCGTTGTATATGGCCGCGATAAGGTGGTTCGAAGACTGCGCGGCCACACGGAACCTGTCTCCCACCTTGTGGACGCTGTCTCCGTGGGTCAGGAGCACCGGCTGCTGCTTCTCCAGACGACTGAGGGTAGAACGAATTGTGAGTTGACTGAGCAGTAGTTCTTTCTTTCTGGTCGTTCCCTCATTGCTGAGGATCGTGACTGTATGTCAATCTTCTCCACTCGGTCCGGTTCTGCGCCGTATGTACCGCTCCCTGTATCTGGCCTCCAGTCACCTCCTTGAGTTGGTCCACCCCTCTAGCTGACGCTCTTCTTCTAGCGCGCTTCCCCTCCATTTGTCCGAGAATTATGAGTTTCTCCAGGCTGTGCAATGAGGATCGCATTATGTGCCCAAAGAAACTCTGGATCAGTAGTTAACTTAACGTATTTTTTTTTTTATTACTGATGGTTGGTGGTTACTGGAGCCCGTAGACATCTACGACATAAATGCGCCACCCACCTTGAGATATAAGTTATAAGGTCTCAAGTATAGTTACAACGGCTGCCCCGCTCTTCAAACCCAAACGCAGTACTGCTTCACGGCAGAAATAGGCAGGGCGGTGGTACCTACCCGCGCGGACTCACAAGAGGTCCTACCACCAGTAAAGCCACCAGTAGTTTGGATTGAGGTTATATCCGTGGGCACTCACTTGAACAAAGGGCAGCTGGTTTCCACTTCGATCTCGTACTGCCCGTCCTCGCGCGCGTCCTTACGCAGCACGGAGCCACCAAACTCCTTGTTCAACATTTGCATCCCATAACATATGCCTGATGAAAATAAACATTACATTTCAATATACATAGTGGAGAGGTGTCATGAAGCTACATGAAGTCGATCAAGACTTCAAGTTCTTTTTTTTTAATTCAATAGATTTTTCAGTTTATGAATACAGGCAAACAATAGTTTCAGATTCGTTATTGAACCTTTTTAAATAAAAACATTAAGTTTGTTTATTAAGACAAGTGAATACAGGATGTAGATTATTATGTGTATAATATAAACAGGAATGATCTAATGGGTTGAAACTATGAACTGGCTAGCTAATATTATAATAGTTCGTGAATACTCAAATTCCCTAGAGATCGCGTATTCTGTGCACTCCATTTTTTTAAATTGATACTAATCAACATTTTTGAATATCTTTATTTTTTTGTCCTGTTGAAATGGCTGCACGAGTACACGGCCCATCTGATGTTATGAGGTTACCGAAGCCCATAGAAATCAACAACGCACATGGAACCAACCTCCTTGAGACACGAGTTCTAAGTCTCTGTTTTATGGTATCTTCAAACTGTAATGAATTAAGATTTTCCACCTCAACCTTAAAATTACCAGAACTTTCTTCGTTTCATCATCATAATCGGTTGCTCTTGGCAGAGCAGTCGTGATCAAGTGGAATTCTTGCTTATTAGATGACAGATGTTTTCCATAGTTTGCGAACCGATGCCCGGCGCACACACTCGTTAAGTGGGGTTTCAGTAAGGTCTTTCACCTGATCAGTCCAACGCATGGGGATTCGTCCACGAGATCTCTTACCATTGACCCTACCCTGAACAACAAGTTACTCGATAGACTCTGCTGGCCGTCACGATACGTGTCCAAAATATGGTTTGAGATAACCTTAAATCTCACCTAAAACCGGAAGGCCGATTTTGAAGACGTCCGCGTCGTATTTCGGCGCATTCTCGGCGTACACAGAGTTGGGTCCGCCCGAAATGATGATGGCGCGGTATCCGGCCTCCTTCAGCTGGTAGGCCGAGGTCTCCAACGGTAGGATCTCCGATTCGACGCACAGCTCGCGCACGCGGCGGTCTATCACCTGAGAGAGGAGGCGGTCAAATTAACACATTACGTGGCGCACTCAAGTAATTATATCGATTTCTGTTACTAAGCCCCTAGATTGCCTAACTTTGCCATCTATTGTATTTAATTTATGTTTTAGTCTTTTAAGATCTCCTAGATTGCTACATACGAATGCACCGGAAGTCTTATCCTTTGACTTCAAATTCTTCAATATTATATCGATATACCACAAACCACTCCCTGTACATAGTCCGACTTCACGTTCAAGGTTACGAGAATTCATTGACATCGCAAGGCTATTAGTAATGTTACGCCGGTAAGAGTAACGCCATCCATCGCCGAATAGTCGAACGAATATCGAAGGACCTAGTAGCACCTAGAACGCTCGAGAATTACAACGCCATTTATTGACAGATAGCGGAAACTACTACTAGAGATGTGTGGAATATTCTCGATAATTCGAGGGATGAGGTATCGACTATAAAAGCGTTGCAGGGATGGCACGCATTCAGTCAGTAATCGGAACTGCTCAAAGCGAAACAGCGAACGGATCCCCTGAAGCGAAGCGGAACAAGCGAATTGAGAGTTTTAAGTGATCTAAGTGTTGAATAAAGTTTTTCAGTTGTACTTTGGTAGAATTTTATTTATCCCGAACCCCAGCGCGTAACAGTAATTATTATAAAACAAAAGACCAATAATCACCTTCCCATATTGTGAGCCGGCGTCCAGTATGGCAACTTTGTCACGTCCCTGGCCGGAGCCATTGGTGCCGCGGAACTGTCCGTCCGCACTCGCTGTGTGCATCTCGCCGACTCGCCAGCAGCACTGCGGACAAATCCGACAGACCGGTGTAGTCAAATACAGGGTGTTGACATTTCCAAGCTTTGCACTCGACAGTGCGATTTTATTACGAACGACAAAAAAAACGATAAGAACAGATATCAGAAACGTAAACAAGATGTCAATCTATACTAATATATAAATCTACAGTGGTTTTTACGGATGTTCCGTTATAACTACTGAACCATGCATCCTGACTTGAAACTTGGCATCCGTGTAGAAAATACATGTACTTAATGGATAGGCTAATATTTATATGAGTTTTGGACTCCCTAATAACAGTGACAATAAATAATAATGTCAATTTTAAATGCCCAGCGAAGCGGGCGAATACGGCTAGTTATCAAATAAACTTAAATAGTTTAGACAGCGCATCGAATTTCCGCATCAAAGTTGTGAGCAAGAATTATCTCTCCAGTACAAAGGGTTAATTATTTATATATAAAACGAAATACAAATGTTTTCTTTCGCTCGCGAATATTTTAAAAGCAACGGTCCATAATCAACGAACCCCAAATTATGATAATTGACGACATGAGTGGATGATGGGGTATGATACAATTTGTTAATTTTAAGAATACAGTCAACACACTTTTATTACTTGTACTTTTGCACATAACACCTTCATTCAATGTAAAAACTAAAAAAATCTTAAAAACTTTACTTAAACTCTTCATTCACTCATATCTTCAATTATGTTAAAGAATAAACACACTGGACAGACTTGATAATAACAAGGTCATTGAGATGCTACCGAAACTTGGACACGGATTTTTTGAGTGTATCTCTCGTTTGTCTATTTAAGACGTCAAAGTTGACAGTTGACCAGGGACGTCTTAAACTAGGATGGGGCCCTTGGGCACACAAGAATTTGAGGCCCTTTTGGAAAGTAAAAAAAGCGAATTATAATAACATTTTTTTACTGAGTTTGAGACCATTTATTATAGGTAATCAAATACAGTATGATATAATATGTCATTAATGATATTAGAATGCTGCTGGTTTTTTGGTTACGATTTCGATAACGGCTTCTTTCGGGATTTCTGTTGAGCAAAATCTTCTATTATAGTCATAGCATATGCCTTGTAAATCTTCTGATTATTGATCTTATTAACCTTCTGATTACTGATTTGTGAAAAAAGTGTAATGTGCCTGACAAAAATGTTTTGAGAATAAACGTGTGAGAGATATTGTCGGTCTTTCGGGGCCCCCTGAGAATGGGGGCCCTGGGCACGGGCCCCGTGTGTCCTTATGGTAAAGACGGTATTGCAGTTGACAGGGAGGTTTTTGAGCGGTTACCCAGCCTTATGCAGCACCTACGGGTTGGCACCCCATAACCAGACGGTAACCGTAATTTTTTTCAAATGGCATACATAATGGGTATAATTAGTAAGTTTTATCAACATACAAAAGGTTTGAAGCAGTCGACAATTTATCTTTAAATTTTGAATTCACACATATAACCGTAACCTAATATAAATTTCATTGCACCTACCACTATTTACTCTGCACTACCTTTGGTTGACTGGTAGAGAATGCCTTAGGCATTAAGTCCGCCAATGTAAATTTTACATGAAGTGTAATAAATAAATAAATAAATATTGAAAACTACAACTATTATGGCTGTTCCTTCAGATGTAGAGGGCAAGCGTTTTTATAAATTCTTTTGGTTGAAAGACGAGGTGCCCGCCCGCCTGCTGTTAATGGGTTACTAAGGGTTCATAAGACCACAACGTGAATACCGCCATTTACCTTACGAAGTTTATTTAGTTATTCTGGATACAATTAGTATATAGCCATTTAATATCAAACTTAGGTAGGAGAAATACCAAAGAAGTTCCCACTATAACTAACATTATTTATTTTTACAAATAGCTATCGCTATTAATGAAATGAATATAATTTTTGTAAGTGATGAAAAACAGCGAATTGGAGAGCTTCATATCACAGACCTTGCACAATTTATGCATAAATGTCTTAGGATTTTCGAACTGTGAACAGTTTGAAGATTTGATTAGAACTGAGATATCACATTTTTTATTTTGATAGAGATTTGTTTTAGGTAGTCACGTGAGTTCATAGTTCCAATTTGTATTGTATTATGGCTATCGCAAGCTTCTTACTGACAAGTTTACAATGTCTATGAGTGATGGTAGCCCCTTATCACCTGGTGATGGTGGATTTTGGGGTGACTTGTAACTGCACATGTAAGTACCACCACCCTGACATATCTGTAGTAGAACATTAATGTGTTTCGGTTCAAGGTTGTGGAGACCATTGTACTTTTAAAAGTTTAACTTAGAATGATATCTGGTGGAATTTACATCGTCAATGTCATAGGCTCTGGTAACAGCCTTACACAAACTCGTACACTCATCTAAGCAATAAAAAAAGTTAGGACTAAATGACACTCTGTTTAATTACTATACTTTTTTAATGTTTCATATTAAGCTATTCATGTGTAACATACCTTACATAGAAAATCCCAACTCAACATAATGAAAGGTGATTAAAAAAAATTGTGCTTTTTCATAATTTTTAAAGAATACATAAGTCACCACTGCACATCACACAAATTCAAACAAAACCAAAGTACTTTTTTTTTTATTAAATTGAATCAGTACTTTATGATCATAAAGCAATTGCTAATTGTAATTGAAATAATAAAAAATATTCTTCAAATTTAGGATGGTGAAAAAGAAAATATTAGCTTATATGAAAATACTGCAATATAATAGATTTTCTTTTGTTGTGCTTTTATTAGAAGTGGCATTGACAATGTGTATTTTTAGATTTTCGTACCATGTGAGATTACAAGATGTGTGTATGCATATTTTGTCTATAAGTCTTTGTTGATGTGATTAGTGATATTGATTGGCAATGGAAATTAAAATTTGGTCTATACTATAAATATCCAATGCATACACAATTCAGTTATTTTAATTTTCCAAAATTTTAACACACGCTTGCAACACAAAATGTTAATTTAATTTTGTTAGTAAATAAGACCATAATAGTATGTATTATCAACCAACCAACTTAATTTACTTTTTGTTCACAATCTGAATAAACAGTGATCTCACAAATGTATTTACTATACATTTGGAATTTTAAGAAGGTTATACTTGGATTTACTATTTTGATTTTAATTTATAATGAATTAATTATGAGTCATTTCACTTTGGATAATTTTTATACATTTGTCTTTAATTTTCATTTTAATTTTTTATTTATTTAATCACATTTTTATGTGAACAACTTAGTTTAAGGTGGCAATAATTTAAATAAGTACACCGTTTTGTACCTCACTCAGAATTCTATATATTTTTCTCCCCATTACCCCAATTTCTATCTTGACTACTGACTGTAAGCCATTCTTGGAGTCTGCATGATTTGTTCCTATGCAACCCCGAGCTCTATTGATTAAGTTTAAGACTTTATTCCAATTACTCTTATGTCTGTCTTCAGTCTTTCAGCTACTCTTAACATCAGATGGCCATGACCGATTGCCCCTTTATGTCACTACTAAAATGGAAATATTCAGACGTGACTAACTAACGTAACTAAATTAATTTTGCAGTTATTATACTGTTTCAAGACATAATAATTAAAAATATTGAATATACTATATTAAGTTTATCAAAATTAAAAATTCAAATAGTTATAGTATTAAGTAGTATTCTGACCATTTATTTATTAGATGAATGAAACACCAAATCGTCTGCCCATACTTGCTATTGAAAAATTTATCCGACACAGGCACTTACACCGTTCAAACAGTCATTATGACATTTCTAATTCAAAGCTTCTAAGATAGTAATAATTATTAAATATTTTATTAAAACCTTACCCTGTTGTAGTCAGTGATGTAAATAATTATTAAAAAATTAAATGTTGCAAATCACTAAGGTTAGGTTGAGCAATAGGGTTATCAGTGGTCACCCTGTGATAAATATTAGACAAACATTAAAATCAAGTGACTACCTAGTGATGTAACGATTGAAATTTGATTGATTTATTTCGTTTGAGATTTATATCTCTTTTTTTAAGAAACAAAGACAAGAAAATACGAACCTTCCTTAGAATGCAAAACATAGTTGAGAGACAATATTACCAATAAACATTATTGCATGAAACGAGATGATCCAAGATCTTTTGATAACAGGGCAGATAACGTGTAGATAAAAACAAAAAATATGTTTAAAACAACGAAAGCAATGAACGAAGAGGTTTACGCGCGACATCTCGTACCTACGTAATCTTTGAAAACACTTACCGTCGTCAATTTAACACTTAAAATGTCTTGTTGTCTTCATAAGCTCATCACATAATGGTTGCAATTATATACGTGAAAAATGGCTTGATTTATTTTGTAGATGACGAATAAAACCGGGCAATGACAGAACATTTTGGGTCAACCGGAGAGACAGTTCGAAGCAGCCATTGTTGTTTGTTAATTACGAATATTTACATAATCATCTCCCTTATTATGGCATTTATCACTTACCTAAAATAAAGTAAATAGTATTTCAGAAGAATAATGTCATGAAAAATGAGAATAAATGTGACTCCATTCAGTACTACGAATACAAAATTTTAGTACTGGATTTGGTCACTAGGTTGAGTAGCGCGCGCTGTCATTAAACATGCGTTCATGTGAATACTGTTTAATATTCACTGCTATTGACATATTGGTTAAGGAAATCGAAATTGAAACTGATTATGTTTTTCGAAATTATACAGTAAAAATAAGCACAAAAAATAATTTTAAATATGTAACTACACAAATTCTGTTTTTAAATTAAAACATTTGCATTCCTAAAATATGAACTCAACCTTAATTCACAGATTTTTTATATTTTAAAATGTTTTGGTCATGAACTTAAAATCTTCTAAATCCTTATTTTGATAATTTGGTAGTTCCAATACTTTAATTGTTCAATGATGTTGGCTTAATAAGCATTTAGTGTATTATGTGTTTTTTTAAAAGATGGTCCAAAAATCCATGGAAATAATTGAGTCGTCTATTATCAAAGCCGGCAATCTGACTTTTGGACAATGATTGGTAAATCAGAAAAACGAATTATTGACTTTGTATTCCATTGGCAGTCACAAAACTCTTCGGAACGACATCTTAGATAAATAACAGGTTAACTATTAACCTTTATTTAATGCAGGTTTTGAACCGTATTCTTTGAAGGAGACGATTATATTCANTTCCATTGGCAGTCACAAAACTCTTCGGAACGACATCTTAGATAAATAACAGGTTAACTATTAACCTTTATTTAATGCAGGTTTTGAACCGTATTCTTTGAAGGAGACGATTATATTCAAATCAATCTGAATTGACATATCAATAAAAATTTTTTGTCCAAATGCACAGATTGCCACCTTTGATAATAGACGACTCATATCTTCTCAGTATCTTCTAAGAGGACCATTAGTCTTAGTTAATTCCCATTGTCTTACTAAGCTTATTCAATTTCACTTCACTTATTGCTTCAATTAAAGTCTTATTCATTGAATGGGAAATGACACAAAATACAAAACGTGACAATACAAAACGTTTTATTGTGTGGACTCTTTTCCTTTTGCCTATTTTAGAAGGGAATAAAGCAAAAGAAAAAAGAACTTTATGGTATCTTTATGGGTAAAATGCTTGTCATCATTGTTCTTTATTGGAGTTGCCAGCAAGCTCTGAGTAAAAGTATCCAAGAATGATGATCGTAGCCTGAGGCTTCGGTCTTTTGTCGGCAGTAGTAATAAAGTTGTGGTGTCTATAAGCCGCAAAAATAGCGTATATAATCCATTTTTTTGGTAAACCAACATTGAAATTGCGATAAGGTCAACATAATAGTATGACTTCATATTGTTATGTTCGTAATAAATATATGGCGGCATCCCTAGATACCGAACTACCCATTACTAGCGGCGACGCGTGGTGAAAAAAAACATCACAATGCAACCAGCAGCGGTGTCTTCGTTGGCATCTTTAGGAGTGATATATACGCCTCGCTCAGTTGGTCGGTGCCTTTGAACAAATTTCACCAACAGTTCCCCTTTTTCGCCTTTTCTTGACGAAGACACACGCGTCTCGTTATGTTTGTGGTGTCACAATTAAAAGACGATCGTCGCGTACAAAAACTGATGCAGCGAGTACACAAGATGACCAAACGGTAAACAGTCACCGTCTCCCAAAACATGTCATTTCAGATTCTTCCTATCCACTATCAGTACTTAAGGCATTCGAAGCACCAGTCACTATTCACCTACCGTCCGCTTGTTGTCGTTCGATAAGCCTAGCATAACTTGTCGAGGCTATAAACAATACTAAACGAGACCCGTGAGGTATGTCTTGTCAAGCTAGTTTGACCCTTTATAAGATTACTAGCAGTAGGTAGGCACAAAATAAAATAAATAGAGAGAGCGTTTATGTAAATAAAACAATGATTTCGTAATGCTCCATTTTTATAAAAAGCATCTGAATGAATATAAAAATTACAGCTAGAAGCTGAGATAGCTTATTTCTTTATCGTACTCTTTAAAACATGTTTTTGTGAGCTTCAACGTTTTTAGTTTTATGATTTTTTAATTCAACTGTGGACACTCGTGAGTAAATGAATTTTTGTATTATATTGTATGTAATTATATTTTCAAAGTGATAGAAAATTACATTATAAGTGCTACTTACTTATTTTATGGAAAAAGAAAATAAATGTCGTTAAATAAAATTTTTCGCCGTGAAAGTACACAACATCGTAGAAAAATTAACGGTATGGCAATGCTGGTTACTTTACATTTCTAATTACGCAGAATAATATAAATCATTGAACATCCTGTAATTCATGATTAATATTAAATAAAAACGAAAATTAAAAATTACTTTCTCAAAAAATATATTTCGAAGCACATTATAATATAAAAATTGGGAAAAACTTCAATGTTCATGAAATCATACCTATTTTTGTTTCTTCTTGAAAACCTTGTGGACATTTTCGTGAAACGGAGAATGTTGATATTGCAAACATTGACTTGACAATCAATTTGGATTTTTGTCGATTGCTTTATTTTCAAAGACTGTGGCTGTGGATGCTGAATTGTAAAATTAATTGCTTAGTAGTAATAAATATTAAAAATGCCTGACCATTTAGGGAATGATATGCGCAAAGTGAAAGATGATAAAGAAGAGCCGGAAAAAGAAATAAAATGTAAGTTTTATGAATGACTTCTACCATTAACCTACATGTTTTATATTGTTAAAATAATTGCTTACTTTATTTTTTAGCTCTCGACGAGGGTGATATTGCGCTTTTGAAGTCATACGTAAGTTATAGTCTATAATCCTTGAAATACATTTAATCAAAGATAAAATTCATAGATGAATGACTGGCAAATTAGAAGTTATTTGGTTTCTGACGAATTTAAATGTATGCCGTCCCATAGGGCCAAGGACAGTACACAAAAATCATCAAGGAAGTAGAAGAAGGAATTCAGACAGTAATGAAGAGGGTTAACGAACTGACAGGCATTAAAGAGTCAGACACAGGGTTGGCTCCTCCAGCCTTGTGGGATCTAGCAGCTGATAAACAGACACTACAGAATGAACAACCTCTACAGGTACAGTATGTGTATTCTTGAACTGGTCACTCAACTCCTACAGTTTTTTTTGGAGATGAACAGTTAATCTATATTTAAGTTTATCTAGACTGTTGCTAGTTTCTGAACAACTATCCAATAGTTAAGTGTATTGAAATTCTGTCTTATAAAGAGTGTTTATTTCTAAATCGTTGGTAAAATAGTGGTGATAGGGAAGATAAGTATAATTTAAGGATGTTGATTTTACTAAATCTAGAAGTTATTGTAGTCTATAGGATAAATTGCATTCTGTACTTATATGAAGCAATACAGGAATGCAAGTCACAAAGATATGTAGGTACCAAATTTTCTCATTAGTGTCTTTCTCTGGAACCCACGAGAAAGCAGTGTAAGTGAATCTCCCGACATTAAATTGGAATTAAATATGATTGCTGTCGTAAAGGATTAGACGGCATTCTAGTCAAATTCCTAAATAAAAGAAATCCTGTATTAGAATATCTTTGGCATTTTAAGTTCATTATCAAAGCTACACAGTACAGGACAATTTAAACAAAATCACATATACTAATGAAACATTCGTAATTTGTATGATCAATTTGATATAAATTTGTAACATTTTAAATAGGTAGCACGGTGTACGAAAATCATTAATGCAGATTCGAATGATCCAAAATATATAATTAACGTGAAGCAGTTTGCAAAGTTTGTGGTCGATTTACAAGACTCCGTCGCACCCACTGATATCGAAGAAGGCATGAGGGTTGGGTAAGTTTGAAGTAAATAAAGTCTTCATTATCGTATAACACTTGATAATACTTACTACTACTACTACACATACTACATACTACACTTAATAATAATAATAATCAGATAACACTTTTGGTAGTTTGTATATTATGCAGTTTTTATTCTATGTATTAGATAAAAATACCAAACATGTGTAACATATCAATATGTTAGTGAAAGTGTATTTATAATATTATTAAGTGATTTACCAGTAAGATATTTTAAGGTTATAATATTTTTTATCCTAACTGAGATATTAGGCTCTTGACTTATTGGTATTACAGTTTAAATAAGTCATCGGTTTTTATAATGTTTGGTAAGAATTGAATTGCACTGTCCCCAACCTTGGTAGGTAGGATCTCGGAGAGTCAAGAAAGTAACCTATTTTAAGTGTCAATATGTTGCTGATACAACTCTCCTAAAACAATTGTTCATTGCTTTTCAAATTCATTGGCAGTAGCTTACCATTGAAGGTATTTCTTGAACAACATATAATATTGAAGTCCATCTAGTTTGGAAAACCTAGTGTTTGATCAAAGTTATATAAACTATCAATCATATATTTTTGATACAATGCCACAAATCCGTTCTGTAGTTTTGGAGATGTGTTGATATAATGTAAAGATAGAAAAGAATTTAAAAAATTGTAGGTTTATGTTCTATTACTTTACTTTGTTTATTTTTTTTATTTTGTACAAATACACCGGATATTATGTACATCAATTGATTTAATTAATAACAATAAGTCAGCCACTAAAGATATAACTCTAGCTACAGCACAATCTTAAAAATTTTAAAAGTAGAAATTGAATAAAATTTTAAGTAATTTATAGGAAAATTTCAAAAATTGCTTATGAGTAGAAGTTATGGTTTTCGAAGTTGTACCAAATTATATGTATGAAGTATGCCTGTTTAATTTTTTTTGACACCATAGATAATTTTATTTATACAAATCAAAATGCAAGGTAGTTTAATAACCTAAAAGTACATATTATTATCGGCAACACGCTACGTCAGATTATAGAAACAGAGTTATCAGCAACATGCTTCGTCAAAAAGTACAATATTTACATTCAGCTGCAAGCGTCGTCATATTTAATTGTCATGTTTAATTATAAATGAGTGAACCATTATTTTTGATTTTTCAGTGTGGATCGTAATAAATACCAGATCCACATACCGCTCCCTCCGAAAATAGATCCAACTGTCACCATGATGCAGGTTGAGGAGAAACCTGATGTAACATACAGTGACGTGGGTGGATGTAAAGAGCAGATAGAAAAACTAAGAGAAGTTGTTGAGACACCACTGTTGCATGTAAGTCGTTCATAGAACTATATAAATGCTATATCTTTATCTGTACTGCATTTATTGTACATTGCATAATGGCTGGCTTTTGGAATTTTTTTTTTTTTTTTTTTTTTTTTTGNAGACACCCGGGTTCAGGTCCCCTACTGACCGGCGGGCGGCAGCGGGTACCGTTTCACTGGGTCTCCCTATACCCCCGTCAAACAATCACGCCCCGTGAGTTCGCACGCACGTCTGCTCCGCAAGTTCCAGGCGTCACCAAGACTCAACCCCAACAAGGAAGGGGAAAGGGAAGGGATAGAACTGGCTCTCCAACCCACACGCCGGAATACAGCTAGGCTATTTGGCGGCGGACTCTAGTTGGAGGGTGGTCGCCAGCCAGTCGGACTAGGTCCTACCACCGGTTATGTTTTCGGCTCCCGTTTAGCACCACCCAGGGGTCACTTGTAGGGAATCGCGGGTTAAACCTACGGAAGCGGGAAGCACCAACCCCCATGCGGGAAGCACCAACCCCCAATTATACAGGCGATTCGTCTATTAGATTGCTAAAAGTAAAAATCTGTAAAAGAAGCGGGAATATTTGGGGTGATTGGACCTACCAGTGTGAGTTCACAAAGCGGTCTACCGTAACTAATGTCTATGACCAGTACTGCCGTTTGTCTTCGCCTCTATTAACGTTTGTTAGCTCAACGTTTTTTGATTGTAGCCGGAGAAATTCGTGAAGCTGGGTATCGAGCCCCCGAAGGGAGTGTTGCTTTTCGGCCCCCCCGGGACCGGGAAGACGCTGTGTGCTCGCGCCGTCGCCAACCGGACGGACGCCTGCTTCATTCGGGTTATTGGTGAGTATTACAAGCTATTCATTTTAAGATTAGATTTCGAAGTCGTCGTGGCCTAAAGGATAAGACGTCCAGTGCATTCGTATGTAGCGGTGCATATCGGTGTTCCAATCCCGCAGGCGGGTACCAATTTTTCTAATGAAATACGTTCTTGACAAATGTTCACGATTGACTTTCACAGTGAAGATATAACATCATGTAATAAAAAACCGGTGGTAGGATGTCTTGTGAGTCCGCACGGGTAGGTACCACCACCCTGCCTATTTCTGCCGTGAAGCAGTAATGCGTTTCGGTTTGAAGGGTGGGACAGCCGTTGTAACTATCTAAGAACTTATATCTCAAGGTAGGTGGCGCATTTACGTTGTAGATGTCTATGGGCTCCGGTAACGATTTAACACTAGGTGGGCTGTGAGTTCGTCCACCCATCTAAGCAATAAAAAAAGGTAAATGATGGAATTTGAACAAAATTTTAAATTTCACAGGTTCTGAATTAGTGCAGAAATATGTCGGCGAAGGGGCCCGGATGGTGCGAGAACTGTTCGAAATGGCTCGTAGCAAGAAGGCCTGTCTTATATTCTTCGATGAAATCGACGCTATAGGTGGCGCCAGGTACCTACATAACTACCACAAGGGTTCAGTCTTTATTCTGGAAACAAAACTGCGATTTAATTAATGAATTTTTTTTATTAATTTGTTAGGTTCGACGATGGTGCTGGCGGCGATAATGAAGTTCAGAGAACGATGTTGGAGCTGATCAACCAGTTGGACGGCTTCGATCCTCGTGGCAATATTAAGGTAATACAGCGTTTTATGTCTAATAATCAATATGTCATCAAATCGTGATTTTCATCGAAAAATAACACTTGTACAACATTTACTGGTGGTAGGACTACTTATGAGTCCGCGCGGGTAGGTACCACCACCCCGCCTATTTCTGCAAAAATAAGCAGCGCGGCTGTTATCCACAGTTCTGGTGTAGAATATATCATATCACATGAGAGAAATTAGGTACATAGAATATAGTTATGATTAATAGAAATGTTCGCCCGTATTCGAACAGTGATTATTTTATTTTTAATATAACGAAACTGGTTTTGTATTGAAGGTGCTGATGGCCACGAACCGTCCCGACACGCTGGACCCGGCGCTGATGCGGCCGGGGCGGCTGGACCGCAAGGTGGAGTTCGGGCTGCCGGACCTGGAGGGGCGCGCCCACATCTTCCGCATCCACGCGCGCTCCATGAGCGTCGAGCGAGACATCCGGTTCGACCTGCTCGCCAGGCTCTGTCCCAACTCCACCGGCGCCGAGATCAGGTCAGCAATACTCATCATCATCATCATCATCAGCCTTTATTTGTCCAGAATTTGTTAACTCGCGATTTGGAAAAAAAAAAGAAAAAAAAACTGCGTAGACTTTTTTTTTTTGAGTTTATGGCCTGGTACCTAGACGACCTTTAAGCCAAGTTTTAAGTATTTCGCTGCGTAGACTTTAATATGTTTAATGTTGCCAGGTCTGTTTGTACGGAGGCGGGCATGTTCGCGATCCGCGCCCGCCGCAAGGTTGCCACCGAGAAGGACTTCCTCGAAGCCGTCAACAAAGTCATCAAATCGTACGCCAAGTTCTCAGCGACACCCAGATACATGACCTACAACTAATCGTGCACTAAAAACATACAGAGCTTTTGTGTGAGCGAACAGTGAATAGGTAATTCGGGCATTCATACAAAATAAGATATGTTTTTTTCGATTTTGCGCTAGTTTTAAAAGCACTGAAAAAATATTAATGTTGTAAAATTTTAAATGGCAAAAATCCACTGAAGAAAATCCAATAATTCCATCATACTAGCCTCATTCGTTTCTTAGCCTCATATGACGTCATATGTCAAGAGGCTGCGATCGCTCGCGCTTACGAAAGTGCATATCGTCGTTGTCAAGCTAAAATCTGCTACGTGCCCTTTTTGAGGTTTTTTTTTTTAACTTTTTCGTATAGTTCACAGCCCTATCTACCGTATAAAAAAAACTGTTGTGTCTATAGTTTTAATATTTATCTATAGCTTTCATTTGATATAGTTCTTAAAAATTCACTTTCATATAAAATAGTTTTTTTTTTTTTTTTTCCTAAGCTGATAGGGTATCCGTGGCTAGTAGGTGAGCTCACGGGGCTCAAACCTGATGACGTTGCTAACACGAACCCTAGCAAGAGCCGTGCTTCGCAGAATCTACCACCGGATCGGAAACGCGACCCACTGAGAAGATCCGGCGAGAAACTCAGTGGGCTGTGTCTGAGAGTTATAAAATTGTATGCGAAAATGTTTTTACTCGTTAATTCAAAATAGAGTTTTTGCACATAGCAGATTTTGGTTTGACAGCGACGATATGGCAATTTCTAAACTAAATCCGCATCTGTGTAGAACTAAAAGCTATTAGGGTTGCGTCACTCTTAAACCATATTTCGAAAACACATACTGAAAGTAATTTTAATGTCACCTTGAACCTTTTTTGACAAATATTCCATAGATTAATTGATATGTGCTCTGCATTAAAAGTCGAGTTAATCTATACACGTCCGAATTTCCACACAAAAGCTTGTTCTCTCGTATTCATTACTGTTTTAGTGTCTGTTCGCTTACTAGAAACTCATACAATTCGATCATATAAGACATTTGTATTAATTTGTTGTATGTTCAAACAGAAAACTTGTAATTGTAAATTAAGAATGTAATTTGATAATAAATATAAAAAAAATAACGAAATTGAGTTTTATTTATGACATAACAATGTTTGTAATATTGTGTTTTTTGGATAAACTGTTTTACATGTAACAACGGAGCGACGGACTCGTGTTTTCAGTGAAGAGATGGTTTACATTAACCCTCAGACAGCCCACTGAGTTTCTTGCCGGATCTTCTCAGTGGGTAGCGTTTCCGATCCGTTGGTAGATTCTGCGAAGCACGGCTCTTGCTAGGGTTCGTGTTAGCAACGTCATCAGGTTTGAGCCAAGTGAGCTCACCTACTAGTGAAGGCGACGCTGATATACCAAGGCTCAGGTAGGAAAAAAAAAGGTGTACAGGTCGCAGAGCAAAATCTATTTTGAATTTGAAAAAATTGTTGATTTCTTAAAATTTAACTCTGGCATGACTGCGGGTCACACTTAGCGCATTAACTAGGCTCAATCTATACTAATATTATAAAGAGGAAAGATTTGTTTGTTTGTTTGTATTGAATAAGCTCCGAAACTACTGAACCGATTTGAAAAATTCTTTCACTGCTTGGAAGCTAAACTATTCCCGAGTGACATAGGCTATAATCTTTTTTGAAAAAATTTAGGTATCCTTACTAAAACTCCAATAATGTACCCAAGGTGCAAAAAAATTACCTAAAATATTCTTTTCAACGCGTGCCCTGCGAAAACCATTGATGATAGAATAAAATAATGTACTACGACTTTGTAGAACACATTATTATCTACAAAAAGTGTCGCGACAGCGTATGTCTAACTATTATAGTTATGCCGCAATAAGTGTTCTTTTATTTAAAAAAAAACATGTGTGCCATTCACACGTGGTAGAAATGAAACCTTCCAAAATTAAAATACAATTATCCTAAACGTCTTAAGTATATGTAAAATTTTGTCATTAGTAAATAATTGTAAGGTAGCGCCCTCTGTGAATTGATATTTTAATTTCACGTATAATCCTAAATTAAAATTCACTACAAGAGCTTTCATACACACGTTAGTATTAAAAAATCTCACAGATGGCGNATTCACTACAAGAGCTTTCATACACACGTTAGTATTAAAAAATCTCACAGATGGCGCTGTATTAAATAGTATGTATATTTCTGTCTCATTCTTTGCTGGCTTCATCCTACACATTTTTGTATTTGTGTCTCTTACCTGTCGTTTTTTCCGTTGCATCCGGATTGAAATCACAACGATTCTAAAGTTTTCACTTAAAAAAAAACTTCAAATATTGTTGAATTTTATGTGAAACTTCACTCCTCGCGTTCCCGCCAAAAATACCAATCAAATTAAAATAAAACAATTTGAAAAGGAATTGTTGAAAACGAATGTAAATAAGATTGCAGAAGGAAGTATAATTAACTATAATTACAAAAAAAATATGTAAATGAGGGTAGTTTTTTTTCAGACATTTTGCTGTTTACACATTGTAGTTACATTGCTTGTAAAGCCGAAATTATAAGTTTTCTAATTCGATAAATGCCACGATGTCCGCAACCTTAAACACCGTAAGTTTATTTTTCATATTATGGAACATTGGTAAGTCTTAATCTAATTTCTACTAAAAAATCCAATAGTTGCGCTTTTGAAGCCATCTGAGATAAGAATTTAATTTTGTGTATTTTGTATTTTTCTCTGATTTTTGATAACATCAACAATAAAAAAAACTGGTAAAGACTGTTATTGTTTTACGTTTTGTTTGTCCCTAAATTACTGTAATATCTTTCTGTAGAGTATTGTGTTATTTTACTAATCTTAACCCATTTATGGCCGACATCAATTGTTTTATTTTATTGTTTATTTTTTTGTTTCTGATTTTTACTCCCAACGCACTTCTCTCGAAGTTATGCTGAGATTTATCAAGTTTTAACTTCTATCACGTCATAAGTACAATTTAGTTATCACATAGTACAATATAGATTTCTACCTTAGCTCATAGGTTGGACATAAGAGTTGAGATTTCTAGAGACCCTAGTTAGCATTTAATACCAGGTTGGCCTTGAAATCATCTGCTCACCTAGCGCAATAAAACAAATATTATCGTTTCCATCAACCAGGACGCGTATACTGATGTGGTGGAGCTGTGTGCGTTACTGCAATGTCTCGGGTTCAGTGTTAAATCTCTCGAGTCTACGGAAGCAAATGTCGGCGAAGACGCCGGAGCGAGGACCATCGTTATTAACTGTCAGGTATGTTTTCATTTAGGCGAATCAGTTACAATTATTTTTATTAAGCCAAACGAGGATGTGTGACCCCGCGGCCTTGTGGACATAGAAGCCACAATGAGAGTTCCGACATTGATAAGAAGGACTTTCAATTGAACAGCAATGACGTAGAAATACATGGAAAAGACAGTGGTAAAAGTCGGTATGGGTGCATATTACCTATTACGAGTTACAGCAGAAAATAAATAAATATGTTTGTGTTTAGTTTGAACTTAAATTGACCGGCACCATTCACTGTCCATTGGAATACGTTGCACCATAATTAATGAAGTCTGAAAACTGAGATACAGTAATACTTTTAAAATATTCTCAGGTATTGACTTTATGCTTGTGCTTTTCTTGAACAAAATCTGACAGCCAGACTGACTTAATGGCAAGTTACCTCATTCCTTGGTATGTGCGCGCGTGAAGTCATCATCATTATCAGCCTTTATCTGCCCACTGCTGGACATAGGCCTTTCCCAATGCCTTCCACAGAATGCGGTCCTCCGCCTTCCACATCCAACAACTTCCCGCCGTGCGCACTAAGTCGTCAGTCCATCTGGATGGAGGACGCCCCACGCTCCGGGTACCCATCCGTGGCCTCCATTCGAGGACTTTCCTCCCCCACCTGGCGTCGCTGGCTCGACAGATGTGACCGGCCCATTGCCACTTTAGTCTGCTACCTACTTAGAACCTACTTAAATACTTAGGACCAAATGAGGTCGGGTTTCCATCTACGATGCTAAAATTAAATGAGCTATTTTATTTCCTAGTCATCAGGCTTGCACGTGGTGTTGGAAAGTCCCAGTGTATCATGCTCCTGTCCATCCGCCAGCGAACAGAACAGTGGTATATGGCAGGTTTCCGGCGTCACCGGTGGAAAACATCTCGATAAGGTAGATATAAATTAACGAGGGCGTTATCAATCGCTAAATCTATGAAATTCTTCACTGGAGTGCCAAGAACTATTGTTCATACTTTGAATTGCAAATGCGTAACTTCGTTACGATACACATCTCCAGTGCTAGGTAGTATTTTGGTTTTGAAATGATGAATGGACGATGGTTTGGGACCTCGGGGTCAACGAAAAGACTTCGGTCCTCTATATGATTTATATACCTTATGTTCTATGGTGAGTGTTACAAATGACTTCTTAGTCTCCTTTTCAACATCGCACCACCTGCCACCGATCTTCTCTGCAATAAATCTACCCTCCACTGTGTTTCCTGGCATGTCCTTCTCAAACGAGGTTTGAGGGTAGTCCTCAGTATTATGCAACGGCTTAGCATTGCTGATGTCAATGAACGCCTGAGGCTACTTACTATTAAAACGGCTGTATTCTCATATGCTTAGAAAGGAAATAAAGCTCACGACCCACCTAGTTTTCAGTGGTTATTGAAGCCCGTGGATATCAACGTGTGTTTGCCGCCACCCGTCTCGAGACAAGAGACTAAGTAACAATTATAAAGAACTAGCTGTACCCGTCCGCTTCGCTGGGCATTCAAAATTAACATTATTATTTCACACCCGCACTAAGATTCTCATAATTAACGCCCCCGCAACTGGTGTAGGGAGTCGAAAACTCATATAAATATTAGCCTATCCATTAAGTACATGTATTTTCTACATGGATACCAAGTTTCAAGTCAATCGGATGCATAGTTCAGTAGTTATAACGGAACATCCGTAAAAACCTCTGTAGATTTATATATTAGTATAGATAAGCATAGATCTATTACCACTAGATAACGCCTCACAAACAAAAACAAAACACAAATATGGCATCGAGTGACTAATCTGACTATATCATCAAATGGAGAAACACGATGTAAAAGTATAATAAAATTGTAACCTAAACTATGCCTTGTTCCCAAGCAATAAAGTGATAAAAAGGGCTGATCCACATTATGAGTGCTACTATTCAGAAACAGTATCTAATTAAATGACACCAAAAATCTTCTCCGCAGGAATTCGGATGGTCTCTCCTCGGTTCCTTACCTAAATCGCATCGAGACAGACTTACGAAAGAACTCCTTGATGTAATACGGTATATTAAAGAATACAATGAGACGGACGATAAACGCAGAGAGAAAG